ATAAGGTAGAGGGCAGAAATTGACCCACAGTAACTTTTCACAACTGCCTATCTCATCGCAAAAGCCTCTCTAGATACCATTTTTCTGTCCCTCACTGCATTTATTCGTTCTGAAGTTTGATTAACGACTGCGTTTCTATTTACATGGATTGACACCGCAAGATTGTCCACTTTCCAGCTTACGTTATTTGAAGAAAAAAAGAAGTCTAGCTGGAGCAGCCATGTGAAGGTAGTTGCACCAAAAAGCATTAACAGGGAAAGTCAGGTAACTTATGGCTAAATTCGTGTTTTGAGACGGGACACATGTATTTAGAATCAGCTTCGAACGCTGATTTTAGTGTGTGCTGTACTCAGCTGCGGCACGTTACTATAAAGAAAGTCACTGATTTTTTCCTGTGCTCTCAGCCTCGTTCTTAGGCAGACTTCCACCTACAGGCGCCCTTCCCCTGCTGAGTAGTACGCTAATTTCGCACAGAAAAAGATCAGTTATTAGGGTGCCTCATAATTTTTTACCGTTTCAATTGCAGCAGTCGTCTTTTTGTATTTTTCCATCAACTGATGTGGCTTAAGTAATCATTCGACAGTGCAAAGCAAGTCTACAAGTTGGCTATCAATAGAACCAATTTGTAATTAATCCAAGTGAAGATTTGATGAAATATGATAGCAGTCAAACTAACTTTACCGTAAAAAATCGTACCTTGGCCCCAAGAATTTGAAAATTCGCTCATACATACAAAAGTACGACCATGTATTTGTACCCTTTGTAGGTGCCCCAGTTCTCGAGTAATGCTGATGTCTACTTTAAAAAATGAGAGACCCTAACTTTCTTCAGAGTAATGTGTCGAAGCTAAGAACAGCATATTTGGAATAGCGTTTGAAGCTGGCCCCGGCCCTTAATGTATCCGACCCGATTATTATTTGCATAAATAAAATGCTTTGTATTTACGAGCAGGGCTCGGCACGAGGTGGCTAGATGAAAATGCAAAAAACGAAGTCCCCCTTGACTTTTGGGTATTTTTACGAAGTCCCCTTTGACCACCCACCATATTCCCTAAAAATCCTCCAAAAAAACGAAACGTCGCCTCGCCAATTTCGCGTGTGTCTTCGGTCACAAAAACGAAACCCCCTTTGCTTTTCGTCCCAAAAACGATATCCAGCTTGCTTGTAAGCCACCTCGTGCCGAGCCCTGTTTACGAGTACCCTAGAGGGTACACTAAGCCTAAGGCGCACAGCAAAAGAGTTTGCGTAATTCATTTCAGCTTTCAGCTCAACTAATTCCACACAAGGCGAGCAACGTGTACAGCCACAAATGGTTCTAGCGTTGCTCAGCTGGTATCAGTGCCATCGCCCGCGCAACTCGACCCATTGATTGTCTATCTATTCGCCGATGGCAAAAAATCACACTGGCATTCTTGTCACCTGTCCTATTTACTGTCGCCACATTTCGTCACTTCCACATGAGTCCAAAAGTGCAATTAATAATAGGTAATTTCTACAAGAGCTTTTAAGTGGATAGCTCAAATGTTTTTCAGATACTGATGGAGTCTCGGATGACATACGAGCTATTTCGCTTGCTATGCAGCATCCTGATGTAGAGGTACAACTTAGCTTTTGATATTGGCCTTTTCACGTATTCTATCGTACCCGCTTCTTACGCTTATTTACTCTGGCCATAACGCTTTATTTCATTAAGAACAATTCCAGAAATGTTGAAATATTAGGCCAATTCTTGGGCAGTTGATTCAAAAGTAACACCAAGAACTTACGCGCAATTCGGAAAATGATATGTTAGTATTGAATGTTTAAGAGCATATTATAAATCAGAACTCTTGTGTTGGGATCTTTAGAGCTTCAAGAAAATTATATGCTTAACTTATCAAGAAGTTAAGTTTCTAATAATTTGCCTTGCAGTAACTGGTTCCGAGAATGCAACAAATCTGATTTGATCTTATAAGCACTATCTTTGTTTTTATTAACAATGCTTTTCTTTATCTACTAGTTTTTGCGAATGTAGGTACTGGCGCAGATCAGTTGAGGAAGACTGAAAATTGCAAGAACTCGTTTTCCGGCTGCCACAATGTGCATTCAAAAGCAATTAATACGTTCAGTGCTTACTAGAATGTTTATTCTCTTGTGAGCAACCAATATCTTGAGCCAACACGATTTCCACCGTTTTCGCCAAGTACTTGTGTAATCATTCGACAGGGCAAAGCATGCTCTACAAGAAGGCTGTCAGAAGTCTGCCCAAGTCGTATGTCAGGTGAAGATTTGAGCTGAAATTATAGCAGTCAATAACGAACTTTACCGTCAAAAATCGTATCTCCGCCTCAAAAATTTGAAAATTCCTTAATTTATTCTAGCATATGCTTGACACTCAAACATTCAATTGTATACTTTCTGTAATTTTTTTATGGGAATGAAGAAAAAAATGAATGGAGTAGAGTGGCAAACCCCGCCCTTAAACGTTCTAAGCTCCTCTCACGCACGTGATCATATAGCTCATACATACAGAAGCGCAATTATCTACTTGTAATCTTTTTAGGTGCCTCACTCTGAAAATGCTGATGTTCGAGGTAAAAACGGTAAAAAATCATGAGACACCCTAATACATCATTGATCAAGAAATCCACGCTATCACAAACAAACTTGACATTTACATGCTTCGTCGGACCATGAATTATCAGTTTAAGGCCTCAAATCATTCTTCTCAAAGATAAGGATTTCTTTGAATAGGCTTATCAGCCCCGAAGGTGCTGCGCTTGTGCAGGGACGCAAATCATGCGTTGGAAAATGGTTGGGATATGATTTGTGCATCAAAATCTTCTCCAAGAAAACATGCGGTTGTACTAGTACGAGTGGAATATTCTTGAATATTCTTTAAGATTGACAGTTTCAGTTTCGCTTTTGCTTTTGCAACGTAGCAGCGTGCTTTGCGTGAAGTACAAACTTAGTCGGATGTCTCTATGAATAATTGCAATGGAGTTTCCAAATTCCAGTTTTGTTTGAACATTTCCAAACGAATTTCTGATGCAAGACTGCTCCAATCTATAGAATATACGTTGTGGGTTGTGTTCCCAGAAACTCTCTCTCTCTATTTCTATTTGACAAGGAAAAGATGGTCAGTCGAAGAGGCTTTCTAGTATGAAATGGGTACTGCTTAAGGGGTATGAAACGCTGATTCCAGATCTACTTTCCTTATCTGCTGCGGGTTCATCTATCTGACAAGGAAAGGATGGTCAGTCGAAGAGGCTTTCTATTAGGTTGTCAAGAAAATAATGTCGTTTTTCATAGCAAAGCCATAGGACAAATCCAAAAAAACATTGTGGGAGGTACCAATCGATAGAGCAAAGGAAACCTAGAAGATGATATCCGAACATTGGCAGAACTTGTTGTTTACGAAAAGTTCAGAGCCAAAACATACGAGCAACTCGTAGTCCCAAAAATTGGATTTTCGCCCTAGAAAATCCTGCGGACCTCTCACTTGCTCCTGCTTGTAAAGACATGCACTTATCCATAGGTACACTTGATATATTTTTTCCATGCTTAGAAACCAAGAAAAAATTGAAAAATGGAAAATGGCAAACTCCGCCCCCAGTAGTACTACTCAGACATTTGGAAACTCTCAGCGGGCAGCGATAGCAAGCAGTTTCAGTGGGCGGGCGGCGATAACTCGGAAAAAGTAGCGAGCGGGCAGCGACAGGCTATCAGCGGGCTGCCATAATCTTCCGTGAGTCAGAAAATAACTACAGAGCGCGTTATTGCTACAAAAGCACCCAGAAGGCGACGACAAGGCAGCGATAACAGCTAGTTGGCAACGACCAGGAAGCGATGGGGTTGCGAAAGCAAGGTTTTTGTGAGCGGGTCGCGAAGATGCTATGAGCGGGCACCGATAACTTGTATCTGGCTGGTATCAATTTGTCGTGATAACCACGATCACCATGAGGGGCGGAGCGCCGGTCAAAGGCGACTAGGCGTACAGAGAGAATGATTATTCATTCTTGTGGTTGCTCCCTCAAGCAAGTCGACTTCCAGGCAAAGTGGCGCTTCAAACAAGCAACAATATATGTAATTCTAAGTTATGTCTCATTCGATTATGTTATCTTGACGCAATAAACAGATTGTAAGTTTGTTTGTGGTTATCAGCGATTAAACCTAAACAAGGTTTAAACATGGTGCATCGGCCGATGGACTCAGGTCGTCCCTGCTGGAGTGGGCATTCGTTTTGATTGTTCTCAAGTATTTTACTCGCAGAACTGGAAGAAGGGAGAGGGAAGTCGGTAAGTGGAGCCTGATCAACTTCACTGTCCCCTTCAAGTTCTCCCTCTTCCAGAAATAAATAGCCGGCTACATACAAAGGTCATCAGTGACTAGAGTTGGTGGCTCGAAATAATCACCTAGAGTTGGTGGCTCGAAATAATCACCTAGAGTTGGTGGCTCGAAATAATCACCTAGAGTTGGTGGCTCGAAATAATCACCTAGAGTTGGTGGCTCGAAATAATCACCTAGAGTTGGTGACTCGAAATAATCACCTAGAGTCGGTGGCTCGAAATAATCACCGGGAGATGATGTCTGGAAATGGGCACCAGAAATCAGGATCGTCAAAAAGGTAACGTACTCTCTACTGATTGTTTTGCATTTTGTACACTGATACATATTTTATTCATTTTACAACAATACGAAACTGCGCATTGATGAGTTATGCAAACAAAAAAAAATTCCATTATAAAGATAGATGCACTGATAAAGAAAAAAAAATGTTTTGAGAAAGAGAGTAATGTTTATCGAGATAAAGACGTTCTCATAGAAACAATGAAAACAAGCAAGCTTATCTCATTTATACAATCGTCAACATCCGGCACGAAATAAAAGGTGGTCCCATATGCCGTCCAACATTGTCATATTGCTTCGTGCACTGTATCATCGCGCTGAAATATGTCTTTTGAATTTACCATAAAATCGGTAAAACAAAAACTAACAAGGCAACTCAACGAGCTATTATCCATGCACGTTGAGGCAGAACAATTCAAAGAATTATGGAAGTTCCCTACTAACTGGGAACAACTGGAAAACTATATTCTTTCCAACAAAGCAATACTATCAAATTTGATAGGGCAAATCAAAGAAAGGGAAGAAAAACTAGTGAATGACTACTCGACCTATGTTGCAGAGATAGAATCAATCAAAAGCGAAGACAAAGTAAGAGGGGAGACAATTGAAGCAGAATTTGATCATTACTGGGAGGTCAAACAAGGAGATCAAATATTGGATACGAGCAGTCAACTGAGGAGGAAATTAGAAATCCGCCTTGTCGAGCTTGAATGTCAAGAAAGAGCAGCAAAAAGGGACGCTGATAAGGAAACAAACATATCAGTATCCCAAGCAATAATGTCGCAAGCCGCAGCTCAAGTAACTGTTACCGATGGACAATCAAACCTACCAAAACAAGATGAGGGGACGCATCCAAGCAACTCCTTCACCGTACCTCCACAATCACAAATGTTCCGTTATTTATACGGACATGAATTACGCGTCCCAGAATTTCATGGGAATCCCGAAGAATTCGAATCGTTCTGGGAACTTTTCGAAGAACTCGTTCATAAACAGCCTTACAGTGACTTGGAGAAACTATCTATTCTGTTAAGTTCTTGTAAAGGAGATGCAGAGCGTGCTTTGCGAATGATACCGCGTAATGGGCACTCATATGGCTTAGCAGTTATGCAATTGAAATCCCAATTTCGTGATGAGCGCAGGAATAAAACCATTCTTTTACGCAAACTGCAAGCCCTGCCAAGAGCAGGGGAAGATCCCAGACAACTTCAAAATACTTACAACGACATCCTGGCCCTAGTAGCCGAGATGCGAAAACAAAACGAGGCTGTCGACAACACCGGTCTGTTACAAACAGTTCTTAGCAAATTTTCGAAAAGTATTCAGGATGAAGCGGCAAAACGAGAATATGATTCTAAAAAGATCTGGTCTATGAGCGACCTCATGGAAAATCTTGATCTTCTTGTAAAAAGGCGAGTTCACGTAGGATTCAAAACCGGTAGAAATCAAGAAGAAAATTTCACAGCGTTAAGCATTCAGTCGAAACCTCAGACATTATATTGTGTCGGATGCAACGGAGCACATAGGTTCGTAGACTGTGATAAGTACAAAAACACGCACGAAAGAAGAGAAAGGCTCAAGCAGATGAGGGTATGTTGGATTTGCTTCAGCAAACGACATCAGTCTCATGAATGCCACAAACAGCGATGTCCTCATTGTGGAGGAGCACACCATCCCGTGCTGTGCAATCGTCAAGTACACAGCAGTAGAAGAACAAGCTGCTTTAGACAAAGAGCATTTTCCCCATCCTCCAGCCACATACAGAGACAGCCGTCTCCTAAGCCACAACAACGGTATAAACACAATCGATCCCCCTCCCCAGTTTTTCGTCCAAAAGCGCAAAGCCCAAACGTGAGTTTTAAAGATGCTGGACGATTACGAATTAATAGTCCTATCCCAAAGAGCAGATATACGAGAAATCGATACAACGAAGATTACAGAAAACAAGGAAACAGATCCTTTCATAGGTCGCCCAGCCATAAAAGCCCCAATCGAGTAAGATTTGTGACTTTCACAATGTCAAAACGGGACTCCGACGCTGACGATTCAACACTTACATTAGCAAACGAGAAAGAGTTACAGAGTATTGAAAATGCACAATGTACAAGATTGATGACAGTCCCAGTAAAAATTCGCAATAACAGCTCCGGACAAATGGAGACAATTATGGCCCTCTTGGATAGCGCATCGGATTCGTCATTCATTACCATCGAAGCCGTTCGAAGGTTAAACTTGAAATCGCATTCAGAACGAATAATAACAGTCACAACATTTGGAGGACGAGCATATCAGAGAAGCACAAAACGAGTTGAGGTAACGCTTTTCAACTACAACGGACAACCGATGGAAGTCACCCTACTTACTCATGAAAATATCACTAAGCCTCTATGCTTATGTGATCTTACAGAAGAAGACTTAAGATTCCTCGAAGACAACTTCATCCTTACAGACAAATCTCTTCTCAGGCAAACAACCGTCAACCCGGAAATTTTGTTAGGCATAGACTACTTCAATAGTATTCTAATAATCGACAAACAACCTATTCAACTTCCCTCCGGCTTCTACGTGACACCTACATTCTTTGGTCATGTTATTTCAGGTTCCCATTTTGGTCATCTTGAGCATTCTAGCAGCTGGGGAAACCATTCACTTACTGTGGATGTCGAAGACCTCTACCACCAATACGAAACGTTCCGATCCAATGAAGATAATTGGGTAAATGCACCCACCCAGCAACAAGAGAAGGAACAAATCATGAACAATTTCAACTCTACAGTACAAATACGCGAGCACAAGATATTTGTGCAATTTCCATGGAAAGAAAATAAAAATAAACTCTCAGACAACTTTGGGTTGGCCCTTAGTAGGCTTCATCAACAATTCAAACTGTCCTACCAAAATCCAAAACTATGGGAACAATACTGTGGAATTATAGAAGAACAACTAAAGATGGGTATCATAGAAGAGGTCCAAGAAAAACACAAAGCTGAATCTCCGCTGTACTATATCCCACACCAAGCGGTTGTGAAACCGTCAAGTCACACAACAAAAGTAAGGATAGTCTTAGATGCCTCCTCGAAACAGAAAGGAGAGTTGAGTTTGAATGATGTGATTCACCAAGGCCCCATGCTTCTACCCAGTTTACTAGGTATCTTGATACGTGCTAGAATCGGTAACAAGATACTCATTGCGGATGTCGAAAAAGCTTTCCATACAATCTATCTACAAGAGACTGAGAGAGATGCTGTACGATTTTTGTGGTTAAAAGATACTGCCAAGCCACCAGTATACCACAACATAAAAATCATGCGTTTTCAGAGACTAGCCTTTGGCATTAACGCCTCTCCCTCGCTTCTTGCCATGTCAATCAAATACTATCTTGACAAAGAATTGCACTCGCAAATTTCTGAAGAGATTATCAGGAATCTCTATGTAGATAATGTCTTACTATCAGCAGAATCAACCGAAGAAGCGATTAACAAATACCTACTTAGCAAACAAATTTTCAAAGACATGTCCATGAATCTGAGGGAATATATCTCCAATGATCCACACTGTAATGAAAAGATCAACCTAAATGACATCGCCAATCACAAAGACCATAAAATACTTGGAATAGCATGGGACCCGGATCAAGACCAGTTGAAACTGAAATCAAAACTAAAGTACACGCCAATCCCCACCAAAAGGTCTGTATTGCAAGCAATACATTCCACATTCGATCCCTTAGGATTTTTGACTCCATTGTTACTAAACGCACGCATTTTTATGCAAGATCTATGGCAAAAGCCATACAAGTGGGATTCTCCCCTGTCGAAGGAAGATGACAAGAGCTGGCGCAGCATATGCGACGAAGCATGTGATTTTAATGTTGCCATTCCAAGGAAAATAACAACACATGCTCAAGGAGAAGTCAACCAGATTCATACGTTTGTGGACGCATCAATAAGAAGCTACGCGGCCTGCGTGTACATGAGAACGAAAAATTCAACAGGTACTATCGAAAGTCATCTACTCATTGCTCGCAGCAGACTATCTCCGAAAAAAAGTCTGCAAAATCAATCCAATATAACAATTCCCCGCCTGGAGTTGATGGCATTAGAACTGGGAATGAAACTCACAGAGTTTGTACTAGATGAGATAGACTTGAACATTGATTATGTTCACATATATAGCGACTCGCAAATAGTGCTCTGTTGGGTTCATACGACTAAACCGAAAAACAAAAATGGTACATTCGTCAGTAATCGAGTTGCAAAAATAAAAGAGTCACTACAGAGAATTGCCGAGAAAGGGGTCGAATGTCAAATCCAGTACATCCCTAGTGAAAAAAAATCCTGCAGATTACGCCACCCGGGGTACTAATTCGGCCGAGATCATCAAAGCTGAGTGGATGAAAGGACCAAAATTTCTTCTAAACACTGAACAGTACACCAACCAAGAATTCCCTCTACGCATAACCACCAAAAACAAAGACATTCAACTAGATGAAAGTGAACAGACAAGTGTGGAAAATATTCAGGAAGAAGACAGAGAAGAATGTACTGGAAATGACTCTTTAAGGGAATTGCCAATACATGCGACATGCACCGAGGCAAAGATGGACAAACAATTGCCGCTACCCGTATTGTCAACATGGTTTGAAACAAAAAGAGCAATGACAAATGTACTACGTTTCGTCAAACTTAGAATCAGTAGTACCATATCAGAAGAAAATCAACGAAAATTGAGTATAGCCATACCTGAGCTGTCTGAGATCCGTACGGAACGCCAGCGTCAGGAAATAAGCACCGAAGAGATCAACGCCGCTGAAAAATGTATCATCAAAATGATACAGCGTCAGTTCAAAATACTAAATGACAAATACAAGAATCTCAACCTACTTCCTGACCCTGACGGTATTCTTAGATGTTTTGGGAGATTACAAAAGTCTTTACTACCAGAAAATACTCGCAACCCTATCCTTCTTCCACCCAATGACCCCATCACAAGACTGATCGTAAAAGAGTATCACGAAAAAATTGGACATCAGGGAGTAAATGGGACTATAGCGAATATACGTACCAAATTTTGGATACCAACAGCAAGACAAGTAGTACGCAAGACATTGAATTCATGCATGATTTGCAAAAGATGGCACGCAAAGCCATACCTGTATCCGAATTCGCCGTCACTACCACTCTGTCGATCATCAAGTTCTCGACCATTTGAGCATGTGGGGATAGACTTCGCGGGTCCTTTTTATGTCCGAGCAATGGAAAACTCTACCATAAAGGTGTGGACATGCCTCTTCACATGCATGGTCACAAGAGCCGTGCACCTGGAAATGGTCGAATCGTTAAGTGCAGAAGCGTTTGTAAATAGCTTACGACGATTTGTAGCGAGACGAGGAGTACCAACATCAATAATTTCTGATAATGCAACCAATTTTCAATTAGGACAAGAAATTATCAATGATCAAACAGCGCAAAACGAGATTGCTGACGTCTCAACATTCAACACATTCTTGTCAAAAAATCAAATAAAATGGAAGTTTATCACACCCCTTTCACCATGGAAAGGAGGTTTCTATGAAAGGCTCGTGGGAATTATGAAACTATGTTTGCGAAAAATAATAGGACGCCGACAACTTGCTGCCCCCAGCTTCCAAACTTTTCTCAGCGAAGCAGAAGCAATGATCAACACAAGGCCTCTGGCCTACGCCGGCAGCGACGTTGATGACTCACTCATCATCAGGCCAATCGATTTCTTGATACCACATGCTCAGCTCAACCTTATGAAAGAACAAGATGAAAGTGAAACAGAATACGTACCACACATGACCAGAAAGTCTGAGGCAGTAAATTATCTTGCCGAAACAAATAACTACCTCACAAAAATGTGGACTATGTGGAGACAACAATATCTACTAGAACTCAGGAATTATCATGAAAAACGAATTCGCCAAAAAAGTTTCACGAGAAAAATACCACACATTGGAGAAGTAGTACTTATCATGGACGATAAAATAAAACGAGGATGCTGGCCAATGGGTCTGGTAACTCACATCGTAAAAGGGCCCGACGGAGAAGTACGTGAAGTCCAGCTACGTACTGCTTTCCAAAAAAGCATCACCCGCTCAATCAATATGCTTGTTCCGATGGAATTGGATGACTCATCTGACACATGTGTTGGCGAAGTGCCGAGGAACGAGACAACAGAGAAATCAACGCCAGCACCGAATACTGGGAGAGACAAAAGTCATCTTCGAGAAAAATTGCCCAGGAAAGCAAAAGAAAACGTGCACTATACACTAAATTGCGCATGCAACGGTTCAGAATCACATCAAAAGTGCAGTCCTAAATTACCTTGGCATGCATGGCTTTACACTATGACTCTGATTTCACTATTTGCACAAGCAAATACACATAAAGAAACGCTGCTAACCGAGTGCATTCTCGGCGGAATCAAAATATACGGTCTCAACGCACAAACTCTGCAAGTATGCGGAGAACATCATTGCATGGAGATAAAAAATACACAAGAAAATCTCACAATACAGTTTCCGCCCGAAGTAGTACTACACAAACACAATGTTCTAATCAAAACGTTGTCTTCTGATACCACGCAAGCCTTCCAATTCACATGCCCGCCAAGTCCGTTTTGTGAACAAATCAAATGCACATTTTGCTCCATCATGATTAACAACCCACACTGCTGGCCCAAAACTACCATTTTAGTATTAGCAATCATTAGTTACACAATCACAATCACCTTGTTACTAGCACTGTCATGTCTCAAAAAATTAAGACGATGTCTTCGCAGAAGTACTGTTAAACTTATTGCGCTAGGACTGAATATTCTCCACGCATGTTGCTCCACAATAGGCCAAAGGGACACAAAAACGAATGAGGACATACCACTCGTAGAAGTGCGAGCAAGATCTCAGGAAAGATGGAAACCGTCTACTCTCGTCAAAATTCTTACCATATCATTGATACTACTGAATATCATCGCAAAAACAACAGCATGTCAGCAAACTATAGTAGTGCAAACAAACATAACACGATGCACAGCAGAAAGCGGCTGCAACACGAAAAAAGAATTACTGCTGAAACTAAACTCAATGCAGCCAGAAGCGTGTTTTCGCATTCGACATCGTAACAAGACAATATCACAAACAAAGATAACACTCAAAGAAGTCATTCTGAGATGCAACAAAGAAACACTTTACTACACACGTAACACGGAAACGCGCGTACAATTCAGTAAGCGGTGCCCGCATATGGGTACGTGTTCAGGACTCAAGTGTGCAAAAATAACTCCAGAATCCAAGATAGAAGAGTTAGCCATGTCAAACAAGTACACAGGCATTACATATTGCACAGAATCCTGTGGCGGGCTAGGGTGCTCCTGCGGCTTTTCGTCGTCAGGATGCCTTTTTTATAGGATTTATCATGTCCCAATAGACAAGGAACTTTATGAAGTCTTTCACTGTCCTACATGGCTAGTAAAAGTGGGACTCTCAATTGAACAAACGATGTTCCGACAAAAACCGAAAAAGTACACGATAGAACTCCAACAAAATGTCAAGAAGAACTTTGAAAAAATGTCGGCAGAAGTGACATCAATCGAAACAAGACCCATGCCATTCCTTGGAGATACCTTCATAGAAAACTCAAAAATGACAGCCCGCTTGAAAGAACATCATACCTTTAGCTACGCATGTGTCAAAACTGAAAACAATACGAAGTCACCGGTGGGAAAAATAGAGTGCACAATTCGAGACACCTGCGACTGCAGGCCAGCAGAAGACAGTGTCAACTGCTATTGCACACATAACAACATAACACAAACGATAGAATTGAATCAAATTCTCCCAATCCGCATACCAAATGCTCAAATTATTCCAGAAGGCAAAAGCAGAATACTCACCGTGAGAATCTCGGAAGCCAGTTCAGAGTTAGCTTTGCTCCTAGATACAATCGGTTCAAATGTGCAATTCACATACGAGAAATTTCAGTGCCGAATCCACAGCGCGACCATTTATGGTTGCTACAACTGCTTGAAGGGTGCGATAACGCACATATACTGTATTTCGGACATCCCCGAGGCAGTAGCAGAGGTAAATTGCCAATCTCAATCGTTCATTCTCAACTGTTCACCAAAAGGCTACATCAATGAGATACATTTCTATTCCAACCAAGCTGTTTTCGCGGAGACATGCCATGCATTTTGTAGCGAAAGCGAGCAAATCTTCACGATAACCGGACAACTACATTTTATTCAAACTTCCTTGCCAATTTACAAATTGATAGCGGCGAAAGATGATAAAACAAGCTTGACGAATACTCTCAAATTTGAGTTTCCAGATATAGTGGAAGCGTTATCAATAATGAGCCGTTATGCAATATTTACGGTCTTCATGCTCCTCACGCTTATCGGGTCAGTGATCATCACTATCCTCGCGTGCAGAGCAACGCAATCAAGCTCAACGCGAGAAAACGGTTATCGCCGTAATATCTATAGAAACATAGCACGGCAAGCACTACCAATGCCGCTGATGGCGGTATATATGTCAGCAACATTCTTCAAGATAACTCTGCGAATCGTTTTGTTCTTCCCTCGTATCTTGCTCCATTTTCTCCATGTTGTACTCAAAGCTTTAGCGAAAATTTGAGCTCCGCATTTTCGTCAAGTGGTAAACAATCAAGCAATTTTTTCAAACAAGATCATTCTTTTCCAGGAATGGAGCAAGAATGCCACACAAGGGATAATGAAAATGAAACCAGTGGCGAAGAGCATGAAGAGATGAGCCCGTACGTGGCAATGGAGGTTGAACTGACAGGTGACGAAGATAATCATTCTCAAGTAAAAGGAGAGCCACCCGCGCACATGTGCAGTCCTAAATGCGAGGCAATGGAAAGTCTTCATGAATCTATCAGGGCTCTCCACGAGGACGTGATTAACCTAAGAAAGGAAATAAAAATGCAGAAGGTAAGATGAGTTGATTTTGAATCAAACTAACTTACTCAAGTGTAACTGTTAAGAAGAGCAGAAAACGCAAACACGAAAGCGACAATTACACAAAAAACAAGACAAGCAAACAGCCTAAGGTAATATTCAAACCTTGTTGAAAACCCCAAACAATCAATCATTTTAGGAAATGGATTCCTTAGCCGCGCATATGCAAGTATGCGCAGTAGAAGATAGGAAGCCCGACATGTTGCACGAGGCAGTCCAAACTGCAACACCTTATCAAGAAGACCACGAAATGCCACGTGGGGGACGAGGACTACTTCGAGACCGTGAAAGAAGCCCGCCAAGACAACGAGCAGGAAAACGAGCAACAGAACAAGAAAGCGTTATGGCGGGAGATCCACCATCGGGGTGTTTGTTTTGTAACGGCCCCCATTGGGCAAGCAACTGCAACTACGCGAATACGCTTTCGTCGCGTCGGCAGATGCTAGCACGCCAAAATAGGTGTGAAAGATGCCTTGGCCCCGCGAATCACCTTGTTACCGCATGCCAACCCAGAACCAACTGTTTTTATTGCAAACTTGCCAAGCGCTATGGCGAGATGACTCGTCATCACACGGTATTTTGCCACTACCAGTTCAAAATGTGAACGGATTCCAAATTGGGAATGGATTCCCCTCGGAGTTTGACAACACGTATTTTCAAAAAAAAAAAACTTCCGCATAGCACCACAACGCCGACGAAACGAAAACGCGCCAAATGATCACTTGAATGATTTTTGCTGTTCTATCGATTATTCTTGCCAATAAACCAATAAATCATGATTGGTGGCGTTCGTATAAATTCATGTAAGCAACACCTTGTTTGCTCTCTTTTTCGCAAACCTCAACTGAACAAAAGTAACAACGCGGCAAATGAAGCAAAAATGGTGAATGTGGTAAATGTAGTAAAAGGGGAAAATAGGCAAGGTGTAGAGAAGTGAAGGCTGCAAAAAAAAATAAATAAATAAATAAAAAATAATAATAAAACAGCGACAATGGCCATCACAAAATTACAAAAAGGGGAAAATTTTACATTTATTGAAATTTCAGGTTTTCTTTATAGATCATAGCAATGGAAGATAGGACAGAAGAAGAAGAAATGAAACTTGTTTGATAAGCGATAATAATCATTCGTGAGAATAGTCGTAATTAATAATAGTTACTAGTTGTGCTATTGCTTGTATGTTTTTGCCAAAATTTTTTTTCGCGCCGGGAGGGCGGTCGGCCAAAACCGCGTCAACAAAACAGCGCCCCCGGAGTGTCGTGATAACCACGATCACCATGAGGGGCGGAGCGCCGGTCAAAGGCGACTAGGCGTACAGAGAGAATGATTATTCATTCTTGTGGTTGCTCCCTCAAGCAAGTCGACTTCCAGGCAAAGTGGCGCTTCAAACAAGCAACAATATATGTAATTCTAAGTTATGTCTCATTCGATTATGTTATCTTGACGCAATAAACAGATTGTAAGTTTGTTTGTGGTTATCAGCGATTAAACCTAAACACAATTGATCCTATCGTGGAGTGCTCATCTGTGCACATGTAGATACGTGTCTTTTGCAAGAAAGAGCACGGCGTCATTAATCATTGATTCTTCCTGTGCGTCCGCCAGTACCCGAGCTTATCGTCTTAATTTCATCCTTATATGTATCTCATTTGCTTTCCCACAGATTTTCTCTCTCTCTATTGCATTCAGTAATCTCGCTTAGCAAATATGGCACCACTATTCTCTTTTGATGAGATTATGGTGTGTAGTTTGGAGAGAATTTCTTTTGTTAGCTTCTTCTCTGTATATGTCCTCTCCACGACAGTGGGTGCCGTACTTTCTCCAGTTTGAATTGTTTGAACTTTGAAGACATTGAAGGTTGAAGCTTACAAGGGAATGGTCAGAAATCGAAGTGGCCAATCCATGCAAGCTGCATACCATTCGATACAGCATAAAATGCTGATTTCAAATCTGTCTTCCATATCTGCAGAGCACTTTTGTGGACGAAATTATGAGCCGTTAAAAGCCATTATTTTGCTAAGAAATTAAGTGTGCAAAGGGCAAACTCGGCCGTACAGAGCAACACCCGGCTAGGCGCAAGACCAAAACATGCAACTAGGTCACTTCATATGGTCAGTACCTAAAGGTGAGCGAAAAGGGCAATAATGTGCCTAATCTCCCGATTTTTGTGTGCGATTTTTTCGCACTAAAGCTGATCATAACTTCGCTTACAAAGGCGCTCTGCAGATACGGAAGACAGATTTGAAATCAGCATTTCATGCTGCATCGAATGGTATGCAGCTTGTATGGTTTGGCCACTTCGACTTCTGACCATTCCCTTGTTAGCTCGTGTTTTTGTGAATTACCATGACTTTCGTTTGCTTTTGATGGTTATTGCATAAGGGGCCGGGCATACTTCACGCGAATTCAGTGGCGACGCGATTTGGCAATATTCCAAGTGTCCGTAACTCATTGTAAGCACAATTTGAATGTACAGAAGATAGCGTATTTTATCAACCCACTTAAGTATACAAACCATGCGTGCAATTTGCTAGTGCGCTTTGCTGCATACCTTCGATAGTCTAGAGACAGGGCGCCAAAAGTGAAGGTTGTTTGAACATCTGGCGTCATAAATAGTGAAGGTTGTTTGAAGAAGATCAGAGAAGAAAAAATGACGTAAAATAGATATAAAAAGGAAGAGAAACTGCTGAGAACCAGATAAAAATGCTGCAATAAGGTTTGAAATCTTTCGTTTGGCGGCTTTTTAAAGTGCAAGTTTTCGCTTCAAGACCAGCAGTTCGCAACACGGGGTTTTGATTTTTGATGCGTCCTTTGAATTTTTACACTCGCGCCGTCCCTCTTGTACCCTGCGACGTTGTCTGGATTCTTCCGCTCATCATTCTGAGCAAGTATCGTCCAAGCTGGAGAAAATTCGTTGCGAAACCACTGAAGAAGAATAAGGTAAAGAAAAACGCATTTTTTTGTAATTTTCAAAAAAAAACCGGCATAAGCAGAGAAATAAGCTCGGCGACGTTGTCTACATTATAGACAGAAACAAGACCTATCGACTACACAAAAAAACTGCGTGAAAAGAGTCAAACTAGGAGAAAAACGAGAGATTTTCGAAAACAAGGTTTTTGCCGGATTTCTCGTTTAAATCATAAAAAAGAGTCTTGCGACGTTGTCAGCGTGAAAATAGAGATCAAGAGCTTCAAAATGATATATAGCTTGCTAAAATTGGGTTCGAAACAGCGAAGAAAAGGGTACCAGAGCCAAATGCCCCGCGCCCCGCGTTTGGGGTAGCGAGGTAGCGCGCAGCGCGCGGAGACGCAGACGAGCAGCGGAGACAGACCAGAGCCGCCGGGGCATTTGGCTCTGGTCATTGATCTCCGCGGGGTCATAACAAAACCCTATAATATTATATATCGTTGTGATCCTCATGAGACGGTCAGGAGCACTGACAACGTCGCAGGTCTTGAAAATCACTCCATAACGAGATAGACCAGCATTTATGTGGCGACTCTCTGCGCAAGATTTCAGCGCAGTTTCTTGTTTTTATTGAATTCCAGCGGCTTTCATGAACCTCCAACGCTCAATCGCAGTCTTCAGAAAGGTTAATTGATAAGTTTCATCCTAATTTCTAACTGAATTTTTGAAGAAAAACCTTCTTTTCAGCAAAAAAAGGCCATAAAAACGCGATCCTTCGGTTTTTTGAGCTTTTTCTGGATGTCACTACTATATTTGCCTCATTCACATTCATCCTTACATAGTTAGTCATTAGTTATATCATAATATCCGGGCTTCGCCCCGGATGACTTCTGTACTCCTCTCCAGGTGAAGGTTGTGTCCTCTCATGACACTCAAAGTGAAGGTTACCAGAGTACGTGGCTCTATGTATCGAAGGTATGCTTTGCTGTAATCTCGAACAATTCAGACTCCTTAAGTCTTCCTTTCTCCTCTTTTCGGTGCGAGTTTAGCGTGCAGAATTGATTTATATATGTCATGAGGTATAGATGCGCCTTTAGGAACTCATCATACTTCCCAGAAATAGGCCCAAGAGTGCCCAGAGAAGTCCGAAAAAGCCGAAAAAAGCCCAGAACACCCCGAAAAAGCCTGAAAAAGCCCAAGCTCACAAGCGCCAGAAAGAGCCGGAACATTCCTGGCACTTTTGATAGAATCCCGACATTATTTTGATGTGCGGACGACAGTAAATGAAGCAAAATGACTCGATTGCGAGATCAATACACATCTACCGCCAAAACTTGCGCGCAAAAGGGGGCGTTCCGGCTCTTTGGGTGCTTTTGGGCTTTTTTGGCCGCTTTTGGGCTTTTCGGGCGCATTTGGGCTTTTTTGGGCGCTTTTGGGCTTTTTTCGGGGAAGTATGACGGGTTCCAGATTACAAAATTGTGATATAGTGTGTACTGATCCCGCCTTCCCCCAACTTTGTCCGGCCCATATGCTATGAATAGTGTGAAGTTAGACGAGTTGTTAGCCGATTTTGATTTATACAAATCCGAAATACTGAAAGGGATGCAGCTTGCCTTGTGGGTTCTATGTTCTAAACTTTGGTTGAAGTAAAAATCAGTAAATATTATGCAGGAGGGATAAAAGATTTTATGAATACGACATTGAAAAAAAAACAGTGGCTGTCACACGCGGTGAGTAGTTGTCGAAAAATTCTTGAACTCTTATAATTCTGCAAAAAGCGACTCAGTTTATTTCCAGAAAAGAAGAAGAACAGCACCAGAAACTAACCGCGTGATGGAATTGAGAGAACTGCAGAACCAAAACCAGGCATACCTCGCATTGTCGCTTGAGTAAGCTGTCGAATCGATTAAGGTATGCATTAAAAATCTGTCAAATGGTTAGTCCTGATTATTTTGTTTGGAGCAGAACACCTCAAACCTCTTCCCGCATATGGACATCTTCATTTCTCCTCAATGCCTTGATCTTGCATTTTGACTTTATCTCGTTTATCTGCATCTTGTTCTATGTTGATTTGCTATTACTTGTTATGTTGCAGTATAGGTTGGCAATCAATGTGAGCTCATTTCCTTCATCTTTATCTTGTTCGCTGTTGAGATATCGTTACGTGTACGTGTATTAAGACACTCTAGATGATATTTTGAGTTGATTTCTTTCCTCTGTATCTGTTCGTCCGGAGTTATTGTTATGTGCCTTGTTGCAGTATATCAAATTACTGGAAGTATTGCATTGTTTCGGGCAATTGATTAATAAAAGATGATGCCTAGCTTGTTCATAGTGCACGTACAGAAGGAGTAGTGGATCCCGAAAAGGAGGAGGGCGGTAAGCGGCACTGAGCGGGCTAATATAAGCGGCAGTGGGCGGGCTCCTTCAAATGGCATTGAGCGGGCTGCTTTAACTGGCAGTCAGCGGGCCGCTATGAAGCGGCAGTGATGTGGAAGCCACATGGCATTCAGCGGGCATCCACAGTGGCAGCGATACGGCGCGGGGGCTTTTGGTGGGGATTGGTGGCGGCTTTGTGGCTGCCCGCTGAGAGCTTTCAACTTTCTGAGTAGGCCCCTCCCACATATGTCTTCGTATACTACAAACCTTCGTAAATTTAACCATAAAATTTCGGCTTTGGGTATTCTCTAGTTCTCAAGTAATATCAATTTTACACGAAAAAACCTGAAAAAAAACGACATTATTTTCTTGACAACCTAATAATATGAAATGGGTACTGCTTAAGGGGTATGAAACGCTGATTCCAAATCTACTTATCTTACCTGCTGCGGGTTCCTGAGCGAGGGATAACGAAGGTTTTTATGAGCAAAAAATCTGCATGTGCAGCTAGGATAAAACCAGTTGTAGCATTTGTTCTACGACGCGAATGATTTTGGTGTTACTCTGTAGAATAAATATTCATAATTCAAATAGATCCACTTAACTTTGCCTCGGAATGCATGTCAACGACTGATTTGACGCTGTTAATGCATTGAATTTTTTGCCCACAAAAACCTATAAATCTCCTTGCTCTGGAACCCGTAGCAGATAAGAAAGGTATTTTGAATCAGCGTTTCGTACTCTTTAAGTCACTATACACCTCATAAAGAAAGGTTACTTCAAATAATCTTCCTTCACTTGTGAGTCTTGCGAAGCAATAGCATGGATCCAGCTACATAATAACGTACCTCTTGAAGTCCTCTCTGCTAAAATTTGGATGATGCGATCAAAAAAGTTTGGATTAGCTACTCAAATTTGTAGCCGAATCAAAAAATCTATTAGGTCGTTCCGAAAGTAATGTCGCTTTTTTCGAATGAACGCCACTATTCGTGGAATCAATATTTCTAAGAGATCTTAGGAGCATTCGATGCAGCATTTCATCCTCTTTCTAAAGGTTCTAACTACACTGCATAATGTTAAATGAGCTCTCGAAAAATTACCAAAATCTGCGACTCATGCTTTTTGCCATGGTCAAATTCGGCTATTTTTCTAAATTTTTGTACCTAATCTCCGAAAAAGTACAAGTGGCAGGTAGATAGAGCAAACACTATAGAATATAGAATAATTTTTTCTTTCCCTTAGCTTGCTTCTCAGAGTTTCTATAACCAATTTCTCAATGCCATCAAATTTCATATTTAGTCAAGTCAAACCTCACAGAACAACAACCGGCAAGCGACTCGGGTGTCATTCGATGCAGCTTTTTTTCCTCTTTCTAGCGGTTGTTTTTTGTTTCCGATTCATCAAGTTTTCCGGGATAAAATCATCATAATTCAACTTTTCCAAGGAACCCCAAGGCGTACCCGAAATTTTCGAAAGTTGCTAAACCGAAGCGGTGTATGCTCATTTGGTTTGTAAAATTAGTGTCAAACAACAATCCATCTTTGTAAGTTTCAAAATCCGAAGATTTATTGGTGTTTGATGCATTTGTTCTGAGACGAGACTGCTAAAATTCGGTGGTTCCATCAAAAAATCTGTACAAAAATTATGACGAGCTCTGAAAAGTGGAAAAAGTTGCGCTGTTTTCTGTAGGGTTTGCTCCATCCATCCATTACTTGGACTCCTTCTGAAGATTGTTATAAAATTTTAGAGAAATTGTGAAACCTGGCCATCTCCAAAAGCATAGGTCGCAGATTTTGACTCTTTTCTGTAAGCTCATTGACTGTATTGCAACAACTTCATAACCATTAGAAAGAGAATGAGATGCTGAACGAATGCTTCCAGAACCTTTTACACATCTTTGTTCCACGAGATGTGGCATACGTTTGAAAAAAGCGACATTACTTTCGGAACGACCTAATATTTTCTAATAAAATATGTTTTTCTAATGCAAGACACCTGCTCATTTAGGTGCTAGCGTTCACCACTGTACATGGTTGTGTGACCGTAGAGCAAGCGACAGCGAATGTTGCACGATGCCAACGAGCAAACGCAGTATCGGTAGGTTAATGTTCTCAACTCATCTGTAAGTTTATTTGGCATTTAGAAACCCGTACCAATATACAAAGGAGCTGAAGAACCTATATTGTCAAGGGATTATAATTTTCGCAGTGAAAATATCTTCTTCGGTAAGGATGGAATAGGAGATCAGCCGCAGGCGTTCCCAGAGGTAAAATGACATGATTTCGGAAAAGTCATTGTTTGCATTACCTGCCACCAATGGCGTAACCAGGATTTCCGTTCGAGGGGGGGGGGACAAAAAATTTTCGGATGCAGGTGCGTGCTTAGTCACAAAAATTTGTATGCTTCTTAAAATTTTCGCGGACCCATAACCCCGGAATCTTAGAAACCGGAAGCGTGGCGCAGTAAAGCTCTGAAAAGGTGCTCTATATGTTTACTAAAGCTCTGATTCAAAAATGGAGTGTTGGAGTAGAAAATGCCTTCGAAAATAAAGGGATCACAGTAGAAGGCATTTGTTCTATTCACTTTTGATTTTCAATTTTTGCGCAACAAAAGCTAAATACTGAGAACTTCCCAAAAAATTTCCGAGCAGTCAGCTTTGCCCTTCATCTCAAAAATTTATGCTCTTTCTCTAACGCTTTTCCTGTATAATTTCATGCTATTTACGATTGAGCATATAGTTGAGTCACTAAACGCATGGACCGCGCACTCTGGCGCATCTCTTTTGATGCACTCTCTCATCACTCCCATCGTCTGCGTCTCACAGGCTAGCCAGATTCGCGATATCGCTTATTTTCTGCTACAGATGTTCGAATAGATCGAAAAAAAGACGAAACTTTTATCAGAAAGTTGTGAAGCTTTCTTTGCAATTTGAAAAAATTTAAAAATGTAAAAATATAGTTTTCTTTCCAGGTTCTTTCTAGCGACTTTGTGCCGACATCCGAAGAGGCTGCGGCATTAGCGCTAGTTCGGTTGTCCCGGGAACATCCAGAAGCAACGCTGGTCTGCCTAGGACCGCTTACCAATGTGGCTGTAGCCCTGAAAATTGATCCAAAATTCACTTTTGCCAAAGTTTTCATCATGGGAGGAAATTACTATGGTAATACATTTGTGTTAACACAGCATGGTTTTGACGATTATTTTTATTTAATTTTAAATATAAGTTTTGTCCACAAAACTTGAAAAAAGTTTTTTGTAGGTATCGGCAATGTAGAGTCAAAATCCTCGGCAGAATTCAATTTTCATGGTGATCCAGAAGCTGCATCGATAGTCATCAGCAAGCTAGCGGAGAGAATTGTAATGATACCATGGGAGGCTTTCTTCCTCGAAGGTGTCAAGGTATATTTTTTTGTATTGTTGGGCAAGATTTGACAAATAACCCCTTATTTTAGCATGAAAAAGAGGTAGACTTCAATGCACATTTGCAATACGATACAAAGTTAGCATCATTTCTTCGTACAGCCACAAGCACTGGTAAGTGTAATGTTTCGTAATTTTTTACTCAAATGTTTGGCACTGTTACAGGTCGAGCTGCTTTAGAAAAGAACCATCGTCAGTTCTCCTATTGTGACGAAATAGCAGTAGCTGCTGCCATAGACATGCATAGAGTCGCTCGAAAGTTGGCGCACTTGAGAGTAGATGTGGAACTTTCAGGAGCGCATACCAGGTCCTTTGCATGTTTTCGGTAAATAGTAGCGGTACACCAAAATCCCCCCCCCCCTCAGGGTTCGGCACAGCTGGCAGCGGGTAACTGGATATCGTTTTTGGGATGAAAAGCAAAGGAGATATCGTTTTTGTGGCCAAAAAGACACAAAAATTGCGACTTTTTTAGGGCCGGGCATACTTCACGCGATTTCATTCGTAACGCGATTTGGCTGTACTCCAAGTGTCTATAATTCATTGTAAGCACATTTCAAATGTACAAAAGATAGGGCATTCTATCAATCCACTTGAGTTATATATACTATGCATGCGAGTTTGCTAGTGTTGGATCTAAAGACTTCTGGCGCATTGCCAAATCGCATCGCGACTTCGCGCGAAGTATGTCCGGCCCGTTAGTCAACGTTTCGTTTTTTAGGTATTTTTACGTTTAGGGTTTAGGGTTTTTAGTCGTACAAAATTTTCAAGATCAAAGGGGACTTTTTAGAAAGTGCTAGTGCTGAGTCCTGCTCCTCTTCCTCCTCCTCACTCCCCTCCTCTCCCCTTCAAAGTCTAGCCAGTTTTTCTTACGTACTTATTCAGCGCCTATCAAGTTGTGCAAGGCGGTAAGGACGCCCATAAGTATAGGAGACTTGTAGCCTGAGGCTTCATGCATAAAGTTCGCGAAAAATAATACGCAAGCATTTCGATGAATTGCAAATTTTGGTTAAGAAAGCTGAACCGAGGAGGGAAATTTTAACAATATGGCTTTTCAGCTCACACGACTCTGAGGTCCTAGGAAATAAAATGAGTCAAAGTTAATGAGCTGAAAAGAAATTTTTCGATAACCGAAGAACATGTTTGAAAATTTTCTGTTCACTTGAATTACTTTCGCTATGGTATCAGCGGCGAAACCAGATTGCTTGGGTTTTCGCAATAGTGTTGATTTAAATATTTTTTAACAGAATTGTAGTAAGGGTACCAAAACGATAGCTTGTTCGAGTTCACAAGTGCATTTCTTAGTTTTGGCTACTTTATGCTCATTTTGGAATAGCATTAGGACTTGGCACAGGTGGCTTGTCAAGATGGAATCGTTTTTGGGACAGAAAGCAAAGGAAATACCTTTTCTTGTAACCGAAAAACACAACGTAGGTTACGTTTTTTAGTCGACGTTTTGAATTTTGAGAATTTTTTTAGTTTATGGTTTAGGGTCAAAGGGGATTTTCGCAAAATTTTCGTATATTCAAGGGAACTTCGTTTTTAGCTCTTCGGAAAGCCACCTCGTGCCGAGCCGCACTGCAACAGCATTTTCAAAAAAGTTGGCAGTCAATCAAGAAAAAAAGCCTAACCGCTGAATCAACACTCGAAATCCAAACTTCCAAGAAATCACTTGATTGATTGTCTAAACCTACTTCTCATCAAAATCTTATACTCATTGGCACTTCAAATGGGGCGCTTGTTAATTCTTGAGACGTTGATTTCAACGCGCTCAAAGAAAAGTTGAAATAGATCTTGAATAATCACAGCGGTTTGAGTGTTTACGTAGTTACTCTAGAGGATTTTTTGCATGATCATTTTTTCTCATTTTAGCGAGTGAAGAAAAGCCAACATGGATGACACTCGCAACACCTATATTAAATTCTGTGATAAATCACATACCAAGACACAGACAAATCAATCTTCTTCACAGGAAAAACGATACTGCATTTATCATCGCTTCTTATCTATTTTAGCATTGTCAGTCCGAGCATCTCTGAAGAGACTTTGGAATATTTGAACCTATTTTTTTTATCTTGCTCGCTACCTTGCCAAAATATGGGTATAATATTCGAGTTCAGAAAAAAAGTGAGCAAGCCTTACATTGTGAGAATATATTCGTAGATAACTGCTTTCATCAGAAATGAATATTACAGGGAACCATCTCTGAGTAAATGAGGCTTTGATATATTTGACCGAAATACACCGCGCTTCAATTCAAAATATTGTTTTGTGAAATACCACATCATACACTTCATATGCTTTTAAGTTACAAATTGGGTTCTTCGTGTTTTCAGCCTCGACTCGTTCTCGAAAACTGTTTTTGTTTTTCTTTTCAAACTTTTTTTTGCTTATTTCCAAACGAGAATCACTTAGATTTCTGAAAGGTACATGTGGTTAGTTTTGATTTTAAATGCTCTTTCTTAATCCATTGCAGATGGCTAGAGCGAAAATTTGAAAAAAAAAGCGGTTACCAACACCATTGAATCAATATAGGCGGTTATTAGTTTTTAGAGAATCCGCATTCGAACTTCCAAATATGTACATTTCTATTTTATGAATTAATTAGTTTGCATTACTTAGGGTCTCGAAGAAGTTTTGCAACTTTACATTTTTGTAGCAGACATATTCACTTGTCAGTAGCGCTGAGCTCAAGGATTATGACTGTTCACTGAAATGTTTAGACCTTCCAAGGTAAAGGGGAACTGTGTGCCAGTTGTATTCGTCAAAATAGTCACCGTCTACTTACAAAAGATACGATTTTACCTGACACAAACTTCATAGTGCGAACCTTCAGAGGTCAAGTGGTTGTTGACTGGGTGGACGTTCTTTGGAGCAACGAAGATGCTGAGTTTGTTGCTGCTCAAGGAGAATCCCTAGACAGAAGATTGCCTCCCGTTACGTTCATCGTCTCCTATGATGTTGTCTTAGTCGACAAATGGATTCATAAAGCTGTGAAAGGCGAACCTGGCCCATGGTGACCACATCGTTTGAAATAAACTTTTTCATGCACATGCAGTGTGGATTCTGTTTCTTGTTGTGGTATTTTTTTATGATTCAAAGTATTTGTTTGGAATGATCTGACATCACTCACACTTCACGCTTCTGGTTATGAAATTTATGAGATTGCTTTGCAGAACATCATTGATTCTGTACCAGTCACCTCATATGATGATCCCTAGAGTAGATACCCAATGTTTAATATATTCCTCTTCCTAAGAGGTCTCTTGCCTATCTTCAAAAACCGTTTTGTGGGGGCTTTAGCTCAGAGCTATAGTATAGAGCGAACTACCAATCGCTCCTTGCTACCGTATGGTTACGGCAGGGAATTCTAGCATACAGCGCTATGATGAAAAGTCCGTTCATGAAGATTTTTCGGAAAAATTCTCGAAAGTTTTTCATTATGCACTTTTTTGAGGATTACAGCTATCTTAATGGTGTAATCAAATTTTTGGGCAAATTGGAAGAATCGTCTTTATGGTTTATTTCACATAACTCATAAACCAAACATTGCAGTAAAGTGCAGATTTTCTATTTGTATTCAGCGGCTCTGACGCTATAGTGTGAAGGTCAGCTTGTTTAGTTTTCTTTCTAAGGCCAATGTGGCCCTTAACGGTTCAGAACCCTCTTTAAAATTTCTACATTAATCTTAGAGTAATGAAAAGAGATGGTGTTCGCTCCTTACTTTTATGCCTATCTACGCTGAAGCTAGCTCTGCAAAGTGGCACCTAAAGGTATAGCATGGACCCCGGCCAGCTTCCCATAGGTACCACCGCGGCGCATACGCAACGCAGGCCCGACTTGGACGCGTCTCATCTCACTTACGAACACGAAAGCATTTCTGCTTGAGTAAGGAGTGAAATGAGAAGTGGAAACCTCTAAACGAAACTTGAGAAAAGCCAAAGTACAAGAGAACGTTCATTATTTCCCCCAGCGCTTAGATTTCAGTCAGTCTCATTGATGCTAGTATGACACTACCAATGATGGGTGATAGAGGTACCAGAAAAAGTCAAGGAACACTTTCAGAACGTTTTTTTGCAGCCATAAAAGCTAGAAAGTTTGAGATCGAGAGCAGAATGTTAGAAGCAAAGCCCTAATGGCGCATTAACGAAAGCTAGAAACATCTTTAATAAAAATCAATTGGACATACAGGCTTATTCTGTAATAGCAGCCAATGAAGAGACATTTCCATATACTACATCCAAATCTTCACTTTCGAGAAAAATAAAAGAGATTTTCGATTAAAAGCGTTCAAGGCTGTCAACTCTCGTAAAAACTCATCAGCGGCAGTTGTCGTGAGTTCTTTGCATCTAAAATAGAGAGATAACAGAATAAAACAAAGTCACTTTAGGGAGAAAAGCAAAAAAAAATCAGTAGAGCAGAAACAAAAAGCGCACTAAAGGCGTGCGCTGCGCACGCGTCGCGGAGGTACCTATGGGAAGCTAGCCGGGGTCCACACTATAAGCAAAAGACTTCTCGGAAAAAGTTGTTTTGTTCTAGTTGGCAAACCCGGCTTCGCCCGGCCCTATGAATAATATATTCGTAATCAGCATGCTCATTTACCCTCCTGTGCCAAATCCCAGTCCCGTAACTCAAACTTTTCAAAGGATCAATAAAATCGATACCGATTGAAACAAAAGGTAGCCTATACTATCCGCTCCGCCTTAAAGTGTATGTGTGTAAAGTTTGGTCTGGATCGACTCAGAAATAAAAAGTTCTATTCGGAACTACGTAACAGACAAACAGACTTAGCCTTATATATATAAGAATCTGGCTTACCCGGCTCCGCTCGGTTCTGTCAAAACAGAGTGAGGTCCATCCGTATCCCTGTACAACCGCTCACTTCCACATGCCAATTCTCTTCTCCTGCTGTGTTAGTCATCAGCATGCTTACTCACTCCCCCCCCCCCCCCCAATCGATAAAAATTGATAAAATCGATGTCGATCGATAACGAAAAGTAGCCTACGACACCCGCCCCGGCTCGAAATGTATGTGTGCCAGTTTGGTCCGGATCGGTTCAGAAATAGAATTTTCTATTCGGAACATACCTATACAGACAAACATGTGTACAGCCAGACCGACAGACAGACAAACAGACATTTAGCTTTATATACAGGGTGTCCCAAAAAAAATGTGCACACTGTTTGATTGTAAATAACTCTCTTGTAGTGAAGTGTTCCGAAAAGCTTTAGGTACCGTTTTGTAGAGCGAGGTTCAACTTAGATTTACAGTGTAGAGCGAATCGCCGGTCGCTACTGTAGGAGTAGGGTAGAAACTTTAAGAGGGTTTTGAGCCATGAAAGGCCATAGCCGCTCAAAACGGGATTGCTCCTTTTTCAGGAACAATTGAAGCAGTTGTAATATGACACCTGATTCCAAATAGTTCGAAATCAGCAAAATGTTTGTTTATAATTCTAGAAAATAGCAATTCCAATTCGTAAGCTTAATTAGTAATGCTTTGTAGATCTGAGATGATTCTACACTTAGCGTTATTCATAATGATTGCGCTCGATGTTCTGATAATCTGCTATCATGCTGTCAGCTATTTGTCTACTCGCATGATCTGCCCTTACATGAATTGAGAATTAGTCTAGATGTGTACGGTTGAATGCGCTAATGTGTCTAGTGGTGGGCGCAGAATATGCAAATACATATTGGGCTCACTTTCTTCATGCTGTTGCTTCCATATAAAGGCAGGCTAATGTATGCTTCTTCGCTATTCGCTAATTCCCTTTACCGCACAACCAATAAATGTCTACGTTTTCTCGGTCTTCAAAGTACGAACCCTACGAACCTGCTCCGGAAAGAGCTAGGTTACAAATAATGCTGATGGCCGCGTGACTCTATTCTTAATGAAAGACCGCTTGACCCATAATTATCCTTGAGAGTAGGGACCTTTAACTTGAGAATCAACCCAGCGATCTTTGCCATATATGCTTCTTTGATAAGCTTACATGCGAAACTACCCAACTAGGAAGCAACCGAAACTCATAGGACGACTTCGCTTTTATATGCATGAGCCAGTATCTTCAGCAGGACCCATCACGAGGGTGATAAATGGATATCGGTAAAACGATTTTGCCTTCACTTCTATCGACTTTTAGGATATTCCAATCGAACCCGCCAGATGCGTAGGTTGTTCGAGCGCATACACAAACCCAATTTAGTGCCATATCGTCATCTGTGTGTTGTAAGCGAGCCATTTCAGTTCGTAATAGTGAAAATTTTTCAGAAATCGGCTTGCTACAACCTTCAGTCAACAATTCCACAGTATGTGCACTATGCTCTTTCTTGTCCATGTCTGTCTATACTTCGAATACTTACAAGGAATGCATGTTTAGTCGAAGGGCCTTGTTAGATAGGATGTAAATCGTATTGTATATCATATTATTATATTATATTAATATTAATATTTGGCCTCAAAAAACCCTCATGTCTCCTTGTTCATAAACGTTCTAGATAAGGGAAGCAGCTTTGGAATCAGCAATCCATGCCCTTTGATATGGCATACATCTCATTTAAGAAGGCCACTTCGACTAAACAAGCTTCCCTTGTTAGTCATATCATTGAGTGTGCGCAGTAACCGAAACATCTGATTACGACTCAGAAAACAAAATCTTGATTTTTCAAGATGATACGCGAGCAAGATCGTGTTTTGCGTCAGTCCTGTAACAATTGTCGAGAAAGCGTGTTACATGTAAACGTATATCTGCGGTATCCTTTGTTTCCAGTCCAATACGATTTCCAGCTTGACATTTGTCCAGCTAGTGCACCCTGCTCTTTAAAGGCAGTGGAAGGCAAAATGGATTCCTCCCGAAATTTGGTGGTGTTAGTTAGTAAACCTCCCGTACACTGTAGCTCCATCCCCATCCTCCGTTCATGCGCTAAGTCCTGAGGTAGCCCTTTGAAACTTCACCAGCTCCACTCAAAGGACCTCTTAAAAGGTCAGCAATCCTAAAAAAATATCCTCTAACGTAAGCAAACAACATAGCTCCTTTCTCAAAGATTTTAGCATAGTAATTTTATGCTTTCCGATATAAGACACTAGCTGGCTTACCCGGCTCCGCCGTATCCGGACCAAACTTGGCACACATACACTTCGGGCCCCGGCGGGTGTCACAGTCCACTTTTCGTTATCGATCGATGTCGAATTTACCGACTTTTATCGATTTTTTTGCAGAGTTCACCTACAGGGCTAGGAGTTGGCAAAGGGGGGGAAGTGAGCATGGGGATTCCAAATACAATATTAGTTTTCAGAATTATCGATTACTTTTATTGATTTTATCGATTTTTTGTAAATTTTGACATGCGAGGCTGGGATTTTGCAGAGGGGGGTAATCGAGCATGCTGATTACGAACACAATATTAGTTTTCAGGATCGTCCATTACTTTTATCGATTTTATCGATTTTTTTTGTAAAGTTTGACCTGCGGGGCTGGGAGTTTGTACAGGGGGGTAATCGAGCATGCTGATCACCCCCCTTGGGGATGATCAGCATGCTCGATTACCCCCCTGTAACAACTCCCAGCCCCCTAGCTCAAACTTTGAAAAAAAAATCGATAAAATCGATAAAAGTAATCGATAATCCCGAAAACCAATATTGTATTCGGAATCCCCATGCTCGATTACCCCCCTGTGCGAACTCCCAGCCCCGTAGCTCAAACTTTGCAAAAAATCGATAAAATCGATAAAAGTAATCGATAATCCTGAAAGCCAATATTGTATTCGGAATCCCCATGCTCGATTACCCCCCTGTGCCAACTCCCAGCCCCGTAGGTGAACTCAGCAAAAAAATCGATAAAAATCGATAAAATCGATATCGATCGATGACGAAAAGTAGCCTATGACACCCGCCGGGGCCCGTAGCGTATATGTGCCAAGTTTGGTCCGGATCGGTTCAGAAATGGAATTTTCTATTCGGAACATACGTACAGACATACAGACAGACATACATACAGACAAACAGACATTCAGCTTTATATATAAGATTGTCGCAAAATTTCTATAAGGGATATAGTACGAAATTAATGCTTCTTTTTCTTTCGCCAGAATTGATGGTGACTTCAATTTTAGCTCGTCAACTACTGAGTGGCATATATCGGCTCCAAAATAAATAAAAAATACTAGAAAAAAAGAAGTTCACATTGTTCAATTGTTTTAAGCCGTAACAGGTTTTTAAACGAACACTTTAAGACATACAATCTACTTGAAGTTTACATTCTTATGAGTTCTTCGCATGATCAACTTTATTCGCAGGAATGTAAATATAAAACTAGTTTTGTGTGTACGAGATAGTTCTAGAGCTCTTTGTGTGCTCGTCATGCGTTCTATATAATAGAATGCATGACGAGCACATTCTTGGCATAACATTCGTGATTTCGGAATCATCGTGGAGCTGCAAGCACTGTAGCTCCACATCATGACAATAATCGAGTCATTTTCGTTCATCTTTCTAATGGATGACTCCATATATCTTTGGAAGATTTATGATAGGAGTTTGCTCACAATCTGATATCAATAGTTTATTGCCTAAACAGATGAGGTTTCTTGTACAAACAATCACATTCACAATCACCGCTGTGTAGTTTATAGATCGTATGCTTTGATGTATCAGAAAAAGAATAAACTGCAGGAAACCTTTCTTACCATTCGCTTCATATGCTAACAAATGCTTGTTGCGTTTTTCTTGTTATCCTCTTGCTTTGCCCATTGCTTACTGTCAGTACTTTTCGTCACACCCAGTTGCCATCAAAAAAGCAGTTAATCATAGGTAACTTCTGAAGACAATAATGAGCTAAATAACTCAGAAAAAATTTAGACACTGATGGATTCTCCGACGATATACGTGCTATATCGCTTGCCTTGCAGCATCCGGATGTGGAGGTAAAGTACACAACATTTGTTTGCTTTTTTAAAAGTGGCAATCCTCATCAAGTCCTGCTAATTGGCTTCTATATCCTTATATTAGGTTGGTTCATAAATCTATACATATATAAAACTCAAAGTTTGTGTGTAAGTTGCTAAAGATGTTTGTGTTTTATAGAAATCTTAATGAAAAGAGCGTTTGAGCTGAATTTTGCTCCCATATAAATAAGCCACGGCGCAAATCTTAGGCTACTTTTCGCGGCAATTCGTTGGGTCCTTCTATCGATTTATTGATTTTGTTTACTAAAATCTAGGAAAATGAAAGCTATATCATTCATTTTTCCAAGTTAAGTAGTAAGGGGTGGTAGAGATCATTTACATTTTGAATGTGAAGCATGCGGTGTCACGAAGCGAGCCGGTCAAGAAGGAAGACACATTCACTACGGATACTACACGGATGGTGGAACTGACTCGGAACTGGAGAGGAGAGGAACAGAAAATATGAACTGAAGGAAGTGGAGGAATGGTAAGCATACATGTTGAAACACACACTATGCTGAGCCATTTTGGATCCTCGGCCCGGGCGGGACCGGGAACCGCAGCTATGTCTGTTTGTAAGTAAGTTCCGAATAGAAATTTTCATTTCTGAACCGATCCGGACCAAACTTGGCACACATACACTTCGGAGCACGGCGGGTGATAGACTGCTTTTCATCATCGATCGATATCGATTTTATCGGTTATTATTGATTTTTTGCGAAGTTAGTATACGGGGCTGGGAGTCGGCACAGGGGGTAATCGAGCATGCTGATTACGAATACAAAATCATTTTTTCAGAATTGTCTGCATTTTCATTGATTCTATCGACTTTTTTGCTGAGCTGATCTCCGAGGCCGGGAATCACAGGGGGTAAGTGGGGAGGCATGCTGACTGCGAAAACAATACGGGCAATAGGGAATCGGCAAGTAGAAGTGGGCACAGGGAAAGGTTTGTACGCGAATAGGGATAGTGACCTTTGAAATAATAGTGTTATGACAGGGCCGGGCGGAGCTGGGTATGCAGCTAGTAATGCATATTTTATAAGCTTCAGCTTTGACACAAGATAATTCTTATCTGATACCACCTTTCTAAGTGCGACAAAAGCTAGTGCAAACAGGAAACCTTTAGCTACACAATGCATACCGCGATGTAACTGTAGTCACTACGGAAATTTTTTGGCTTGAAGACAGCCGAAATTTTTTTTGGGAAGGTCTAGTTTGAGAGGGCAAAAATTACTCTAAGATATACTAAGATGGCGCAATGTTTGCTCATTGTATAGCAGATGGTCAGTTAAACAGTGGAGCAAAATTCAAATTTCACGGGAATTTTCTGCGAAGAAAAACGGCCAAAGAATCGAAAGTACTCACTTTTTTCTGCATTCCAGAAAAAGCAAAAAATATGTTCTTTAAAATTCTTCAGTTCTTCCTTCTCAAAAAAAGAGGAAATCCTGCCGCCTTCTTACCATTGGTTATATTAGGGTTCCTTCATACTACGCCGCGCACGCAGCGTACGCGGCGTACGCGGCGTAGGTGGCGTACGCGGAGTGCGCGCGTAGTATGAAGGAACCCTTAGGTCCACTCTACCTGCACGGAGTAAAAGTTCCGTGATCGCTTTCTGCCTAAACTTATTATACAGTGTAGAATTATCCCAGCAATCAGCCAAAAGCCAAAGCTTCTCCACTCAAGATTTCCAAAAATTTTGCTTTGATCAGCATTTTGTAGCACATAACCTCGCGATTACTATACGCATTTTTTAATCTGAGCATTTTTCATGGATTCAACGCAAGTAGAATGAAAGGAAAAATTGGAAGTATTACTCTGCTACCGTTGAAAGCATGAAACTTCGGTATGAACAAAGACTTTCGCAGACCAAGCATATAAGGATAGATAAAGCGGGCTTTGAGTTACCATAAAAAGTTTAAAAAACTGGTTGTACTCGAAAAGACAAGACAAGGTACAAATTGACGCACCGCGTGGATGAAATGGAGAGCCATAAAAGAAGTTTTGTGCAACAAAAGAATGCCAGTAAAAATCAAATCCCACCTGGGATTTGAGTCATTTGAGTCCTACCAAACCGTTATCTGTCCAGCAGCACCGCATGATTGTGAGCGCTGACCAGTATGCGAAACGACGAGCGCAAGCTCAGTGTCATAAAACTAGGATGCTACGATAAACCTTAGGAGTCACCCTAAAAATTCACATCTACAACGACACTGTACGAGCCCAAATAGTATCTCCAATTTACTGGAAAATGCAGGAGAAGACATGACGACAGTAGCGCAGAAGGGAGGAAAGTCACATCACAAGGTTAACTCTGGCGGTGAAGGCACCAAGCGAAAGACCCATGATGGGATGAATGGACAAACTCAAGGTCGACCTACAAGAACTGGGATCAGAGACTCTGCCTCAGTTGGAAGAACATGGAGACGACAAGAAAAGCAGACCCTGAGTAAGCGTGGACCACCCATGCGAGGAAAAAAAATTAGAGTGGAGGACTATATGTCGCCGATTATGGAAGAGTCCCGCGCGGATTTCCCGCAGGAGCGCATGTCCGCGCATATACAAGGGCGCGTATTTGTTGCAAATGACCAGGCGACCGACCTTTTACGGCCCCTACCCAAATAATTATAGAACACCTCAAAGAGTTTCCTCTTTACTCTAACAACAATCTTTCCCTGCACAACTTGTACAGTTACAGTAACAAAGCCTGACTTAAAGGCAGTGGATCGGCAAAATTCAACAACTCAAAATTTTAACGCGGTAGACTCCTTATTGCCCAAGTATGAAAACAGTGCAATCCCGGTTGCATAGCATGCCTTCCTTGCCAAGAAAATTGCTCTCAAACTTACACGCGCAAGCCATTCTTACACGCATCCGGACGAGTTGACAATTTCCTTCTCACCATTGGAGGTTGCCCGCCGCAATGCTAACCATTGGATCCTGCAACAATTCGGCGTCATCAGCCTCCTTGTTGCACTCGTCCACAAAAGCGAAGGGCATTGAAAAACGCTCGCTTTCGGCGTTTTGAAGCTCCCAAAAGTGGATTTTCGGAATCAGCGTATTGAATAACCCCAGGTAAGCGAAAATTTGACTAGGTTAAGATTTGCCGAGCCACTGCCTTTAAAGTGCATCCACCAGAATCGTTCTCATATGAACCACAACGTGGCTTCTTTCGATCCTTTTAACATGTCAACTTCGAATAAGCGCCTTAAATTTGCTGGAGTCAACGTGTTAAAACGAACGAAAGGCAGCCACGTTGATCGTATATATGGAAACAATTAGAGGGATGCGCGATATCTACTGTACGATACACTGAGCACAGATCAGTTCAAAAGAAGAGCGTGATTCTTACCACATGAAAATGTTTTGCAGCCAATGCGCTTCAAAAACGTCTGTTTTTCTGCGGTTCAAGCAAATAGCTCCTACCAAGGCTGTGAGATAAAATAAGGTTTTTCTGTAGACATTTTGTGGAACGCCTGGAGAATCCTTTTGTTTTTATGATTTTCAAGTTTTTATGGGTTTTCAACCAGGTTCCAATCTTACTCTAGAGTCAGCTCGATTTACAGACTCAAAACTCAGCTTTTACAGTCCGATAGTAAGCTAAGCAGAAAGCATGTACAACTTCGAAAGATTTCGCGCCTAACTAGAAAAGTTCCGCAAGCTGAGAGCTTGTTTTGTCCACCCAGACGTTATCTTACAAAAATGGCTATGTTTGTTATTGCAACTACAGTTTTTCCGGCCTTTTAACTGCAACCCAAGATTGATACTCCAGAACATCCAAGCCATTTGCCAAATTGTATGCTCAAAGCCTACTTCTGAACACCTTCTCAAACGCAGCAAATATGTGAAGTTTGAGTGACATAAAGCAAACTTATATACTTTTACATAGGTGCTGGCGTTCACTACCGTTCACGGTTGTGTGTCCGTAGAGCAAGCCACTGCAAATGTTGCAAGATGCCAGCGTGCAAACGCACTTGCGGTAGGTTCTGTTAATTTTTGGCACATCCGGTAGTTATTTAATGTTAAGAATCCTATACCTATCTACAAAGGAGCGAGTGAATCTTTGTTAAACAAAGAAAGCAACCGCAATGAAATATCTGACGATGGATTAGGAGACCAACCCCAAGCATTCCCAGTGGTAAGGAAACGTTTGTGTTAGCGAGCGAGCCATGAGCACTTTGCACATCAGCACAGTAGAGTTATTGGGCACAAAAAAAGCGGCATGCGCGGGAAAGCGGCACTTGTTCGCAGTGGAAGCCCTGTCGAGTGACGTTTCAGATGAAAGTTGAAATAATCACTGAATCGTCGTTGAGTCGTTGAGCGCATAGACTGGCCGCTGTTCGCGGAGAACGCGCCTTGCGGTTGAACGCTTGTATCACTTCAAATCGCTATAGTACAAGTCATTCTCTCCTCATATTCCAACCGCGCCACGTGTGCTCCGCAAACTTGGCCAGTCCGTGAGGTCGACGACTCGAAGATACGTTGTCATGAATGATTGACACGAAAAGGGGCACTTAATAAGGAAAAGTTCCCAAGTCAGCTCGGGCAACCCGGATGACTCATATATCACCGTAACGGGCTTGAAACGCTGATTCCAAATCTGCTTTCCTTTTCTGCGGAGCGACTTTCCGAGAGAAGTTATGAGCGTTTAAATGTCTAAATTTGTCATGTTCAAAGTGGCTTAAAATCACTTGAAAGCTGTAAAACAACACCTAACGAAATTTCATCATCTGTGTTCCGTCCTTGTAATCAATATACTTGATGCAAAACTGATAAATCGCTTTCATGTGTAATTGTACAGGTTTCGCCAATTTTAAGCCACTTAAATCATGACAAATTTCGATTTTTAAACGCTCATAACTTCTCTCGGAAAGTCGCTCCGCAGAAATAGAAAGCAGATTTGGAATCAGCGTTTCAAGCTCGTTACGGTGATATATGACTCATCCGGGTTGGCCGAGCTGACCTGAGAACTCTCCCCGTAAGAAGAAACGATCCCTCAAAGAGTGAATCATTGATTCGTCGTTTCATATAAATTCTAGAGAGTGCTCCATCCGATTATTGATAAGGTTGTCAAGCAAATTCTTTTCCCTCAACTGATATCGGTAAAAAAATTGCTTATAATTATGGCGTTGTCGTAGTTTTTCTCAAAGTTTTTACATATACAAATGACCACAACTTTGCAACTTTGCTCATAAAAGTCGGCATTGAGCTGTCTGTTGTGGTAAAAGCGCTGATGTTAACGACTATTATAAAAAGTTGTCATCGTTAAAACCCAATGTAGTCAGTTCGGTAAAAAAGAGACCTTTTCCAGCTCCTTGGGAGTGACTTTGTGCCCACGTCTGAAGAAGTTGCAGCAACAGCACTCGTTCGCTTATCGCGCGAACATCCGGAAGCAACACTGGTCTGCCTTGGACCGCTTACTAACGTGGCTATTGCACTGAAGATAGATCCAAGATTCACCTTTGACAAAGTATTTATCATGGGAGGAAACTATCAAGGTAGTACATCTAACAGTGAGAATTCAATTCAGCATAAGTTGTGTTCGGAATCATATACAGGCTCACTTGTCTGATTGATTTTTTACGGTTAGTTCTAGAATGATTTCGACAAACACACACACGGGATCTTACAGGGATTGGTAATGTAGCATCAAATTCATCATCAGAAATCAATTTTCATGGTGACCCAGAAGCTGCGTCAATAGTTGTAAGCAAATTGGCGGAAAAGATCGTAATGATTCCATGGGAGGTTTTTTTCATTGAAGGCGTCAAGGCATGTATACTGACAAGCGTGAGTAAGATTCGCATTGATTTCTCCTCTCATTGCAGCATGAAAAGCTAGTAGACTTCGACGCGCATTTGCGATATGATACAAATCTGGCGTCATTCCTAAGTACAGCTACAAGTAAAGGTTGTCGAACTTTTCGTAATTTAGCAATTTTAGTTTTTGGATTTCATTTTCAGTTCGAACTGCAATGGCGAAAAGTAATCGCCAGAATTCGTACTGCGATGAGATTGCGGTCGCTGCTGCCATAGACATGAATCGAGTGGCTCGCAAGTTGATGCACCTGAGAATAGAAGTGGAACTTTTTGGAGCCTATACTAGGTCTGGTGTAACACCGTACCTTATGATTCCTTTCCATAATCATTGAACCTGAGCATATTCGTAAGTGTCGAATATTGTTGTACCAAACAAATTGTTAGACGGTCTTTTATTCCTCAATACTCTTCGGCCTTACATTTCGACGCTTTCGTCTTCGTCAAAGGCCTGGAACGGTTCAGCCATGTATCAGCTTGAATGTCTTGAATGTAATGCACGCTATATCGAGGAACTGAAAGGAACGCTCAGAATCGCATTGGAGAGCATTTGGCAGATAAAAGGCGAAAGAACCTGGCTTCGCCGCTTGGCAAACAAGACACGAATTGCATGGTGGAAATGACTTTGATATCAAAGTCACAATGTCACCGCTTCTGTTAGATATCCGTACCAGATGTAGATGTTCGCTCACAATTCTGGCATATGAAAAGGAGTTCCTGACTAGAGCAGCCTTCGAATTGTTTTGGATTTTTGCGAAAGATCCAGAGGAATTCGAGTGCTTATCCACGACCGAAAATTCCCCCAGTTTATTATGTGAGCTATTGATTGGATTGTAAAGAAAGAGTTTCCGGGCACTTTTGGAAATTTCATTTTCAAACGCATTTTTTTCGGTGCTCGGTCGGACATTGACAGCGAGTTCATTTATACTGTTAAGTAGAGGAAAGCCTATAGTTTTCAATATGGCTCCTGATCATCGGTGCAAGACGTATTTGATTTGCACATCAAAGAGAAAAATCTTTCGGACCGTAAAAATTCCACAATTTTCCTTACTACGGTCATTTTTTTTACAAATTAAAGAATTTCGTTCAAATCATGGGTAATCTGATTGAGAAGCCCGTTAACTTCTGACTCGCAGCTACACTCGAGATTCGCTATTTGCGCTCAGAAATTACAAGCTGTCGAACCTGCTTCTGACTGCAAAGATTTTGCAGCTGGCGTCGCTTCTGTGGGGATCGCCACGCCTGGATGATGGGTCCAAAAGATGTGTAAGGCATTACCCCAATTATGTTCGCAGTAATCAAAAATTTGGTCCACCCTGTGCAGAGCGACAAGACTCTTACTCGAAACTCTCTTAATCGAAAAATGGTGCATTTTAGGGGCAAAAACTATCAATTTTTCAAACTTTCTGGGAAAACTTTTTTGCATGCGGTCGTTGAAAGGCTTAAAGGCAGTGTCCGGGCAAAAACTCGATTTTGAGATTTTGTGCTTACCCGGGCCTATTCGCTATGCTGAATCCGAAAATCCACATTGGAGAGCGCGAAAACGACGAAAAAGGACTTTAACACTGGAGGGAAATTAGCAAGTGGGCGGGGTCTTCCCCACTGCGAATTCACGCTCCCAGCTTCGGGGGCGATCTTTTTGATTCCGGTTTCAAGTCATTCGTTTGCACTTGATCAGTAGTGATGTCAGGGCGGCTAACGGATTCGAGAAAATTGCTCTGGAAGCTGGAAGCGTGAATTCACAGTGGGGAAGGTCCCGCCCACTTGCTGATTTCCCTCCAGTGTTAGAGCCCTTTTCGTCGTTTTCGCGCTCTCCAATGTGGATTTTCGGATTCAGCATAGCGAATAGGCCCGGGTAAGCACAAAATCTCAAAATCGAGTTTTTGCCCGGACACTGCCTTTAAATAGTCTCCATAACAGCCTCAGCAGACTTCTACATAACTACACCATTTGAGCTCTGCAGCTTATGGTGCCTGAGGTAATCCCACATAAATAGGCCACTTTTCGCGACGACCTTTTTCCCTTCTGCGCATGCTGGTGAACAGCAGTGAGGTGCGTATATGTTGTGGACAAAATTGTCTTTGCAATGAAGTTTGTAGCTTCAGAAAAGAATCAGTCTGCATGGATCTTCGCAAGTGCCCATGAACTTTCTTCACGACCTAATATAACGGTTTATGTGACATCCAACTCAAAACAGCACAGTCATCCTTTGCGGACATCTACATCCGGTATAGACTCTAAAGCGGTGGTTTCCTGGTATTTCTTTTGCCATTGTGAATTTATACAACAACTCAGATAATCGCCGGGGGCAGGCGGCCATCCGATTTATGTGCGGACGGGCACCGGAAATAGTTCGCTGATTTCTTGCGGTCCGCTTGCAGATATTTGGAAGAATTTTGGCGAAATTCTAGACGTATGCTTGGAGAACAATCGCGGTTTCCTTATAGATTAGCTGCGGCGCAATGGACTTTCCGCGAAAATATGCAAAAATTTCGAGGGCCGCCCGGTCCTCTGTGGAGGGCCGCGCAGCTCCCAGCCTCAAACTTGAGTAATTAGACCAACGGTGACACCTCTGCCACAAAGAGTCTTACCTTTGCTCAACGTAAGCCTGAAACTGCGTAAAAACAGTCCGAGCGCCTGCTGAAAGTTTGGCCAGCGTTTGCTGAAAGAGATTATTTGACGAGTGCCTGCAGAAAATTCCGTGTTGCTTCACGCTGGCAGAACATTTAACAGTAAAGGAAGTACCGCTCGCTGAAGGTTGGCCATGCCCCAAAATTCTGCTGACCGCTTGCAGAAAAGCGCCAGTTTGCGGACCGCCTGCTCCCGGCGATTATCCGAGAAGGTGGAAGAGCCGAAAACCGGCAAGGGACTATTTTGTGAGATCGCGTAGATCTCAGAGTTCAAGTTCAAAGTTCAAACATTTCCAACGCGAAGTACCATATACGTCAGCAGGTTTGTCGAACCACTTATTGACACTAGATTATGAAAAAGGATAAATATTTAACGTATTAGTCCCTACTTTCACCGCGCAAGCTTTCAGGGGTCAAGTGGTTGTTGATTGGATGGATGTTGTCTGGAGCAAGGATGATGCCGAATTCGTTGCCATTTATGGAGAGACTCTAAGAGGAAGGCTGTCTCCCATTACATTCATTGTCTCTTATGATGTTGTCTTAGTCGACGAATGGATCCATAAGGCCGTAAAAGGCGATCCTGGGCCATGGTGATTACGAGTTTCATGATTGCATGCGCTTATATTCTACATTATGTGAGGTATTGTAATAAATATGGTCTAGATTTTTTGTTACACAACCACAACACATAAGGCAAGAACTAACATTTTCACATCACAATCATACAAGAGCTGTTCTGAATGAAAAGAAGAATCTAGTGGCCGTGTTCATCAACGTACCTATTGCCGCCACCCAGGAAGCGGAAACAGTGCCACCGGGGGGGGGGGGGGGTCGATATTCACAAAAATCACTGTTAAGTTCGCAAACACACTAGCTTCGTGAATACATCTCGTGGTTTAAGCCTACCATTGAGTTCCGGAACCCACTAGGTACGTTTATGAATAATGACATAGATAACCACAGGTCTTAAGATGAACGACAAAAAAGTAAGGAATTACAAGCCATTAAACCAGCATTGCATACTTAAAGTTTATGTGCGGAAAAGCTGTTCTAAATGTCGAATGGTAAAACCGAGTACAGATGAATCGCCAAGCAGCATCTAGGTAAATCTGGACGCATGGAAAACGCACGTAGAAACTGATTTTGGGACTCTAGTTGAGACACTTGAGCGGCAGCACAGACCGCGTGCTCGCCGCTTCACATCTAAGCTAGGCATAAATGTTTTTTGGTGAAAAAGCAGGGATATCGTGCGCAACAAGGGCGAACCAGGGAAAAAGCATTTATCAGCTTGCTATGGTGTTTACACGAAAAATCTCCACTGATTTGTGCGAAAAGAGTGGAGTGGTGACTACATTGCAAAAAACCTGATCGCAAGGCTCGCAAAAGTTTCAGTCGCTGCGCAGACACTCAGTATTGAGAAAATGGGTAAAAAATAAGATATACATATTTAAATTTCTTTGTGTTTACAAAAAATTGCCTTAACAGGCTCTGAAGAGGGTGAACTCAGCCGTGAAGTGAATGAACTGATCAAACAACCTCCTGGTCAGTCAAAAAGCGAAAACCCGTCTCAAATCGAGATCCGTCGAGAATTTAACGGTGCAAAAATTTTTATTTTACTGATTTAATTACTAAAAAATCTACACTATATAAAACTAGCTGGTTTCCCCGATCCAGCCAGGGCCATTTGTGACTGAGAAGGAGGTGGATTCTGTTATAAATGCAACCCCAAACTCTTCTACCATTCCATGTGTGAATGAATAATCACGAAACCCCATTTCGATTCATAGCAAGCTCGTGATCCTGCACTAAAATGACTTCTACCGTCCCGTTTCCTTACTATGTAGAAATGTTTCAGTAATGTTTGACAAAATCCGGCTGTTAATAACCATGGCATAATAAATAAATACTGTTTTAATTTTACTCAGGCTCAACCAAGGTGGTATAGATTCATAAAAATTACGGACGTGTTTCGGCGATGTATAGCCTTCTTCACAACGCTGTAACAAAAATTTAACCGTGACAGCTAAGGACCCATCGCAGCCACTAATGCCACTATTCTAAGATTAGCGGCTGAATAAATTGACATAACCCTTCTTCGCTGCCTACTGATAGTCCCAAGACGCTGCTAAGCTGCAAGATCACTTGTCATAACTAAACTGTCATCTTTTCAATTTATCAGGGGATAACAGGCAGAAATGTAAAAGGCTTCGGAGTTTCACGGGCTAGAATTGCAAATTCTTGCACTAAAATTGATGCCAACTTCTATGGTGATACTTTGATGGCATTCTTTACGATGAGCCCCAAGTGGAGGAGAGATTTTGGACTCTAGATGTTTTTTAACACGAGAAACTAGTGGACTGTTTCTCTTATGTAACTAGCCCAGCAAGCTGCATGTTATTTAGTAGACAACGCGGATACCATGCAGTCTCTTCTCTTTACTGAGACAAACTCGGCAATTATTGGTCACGCAAAGACGGCCATACAAGCGATTGCGCACTAATTGCTGCTTGAGATTTGCTAAAGGTATTTCTACCACCCACCATATCTTAAAGTCCCGCTTGAACTAAGCTTTTGCAAACCTCCCTATTAATTCTATTTGAGATGAAGGGTAGGCAGAACGAAACTTTTAAGGCTCAAGACTTTCCCGTCTAGCAGCAGAACGTTGAGATTAGCGGAATGTTCGAAAATTAACCAGAACTACTTGCTACATTGTTGGCTGGTGCATTTTTGAGGTCCAGATGGGATTTACGACGCTGTGTCATACTTGTTTCTAACGACAACATTCGTAATCCAGCATGAATGTGTCATCATGTAGTGCGCTAAGATTTTTTGCAATAAGTTTCCAATACCATTTTGTTTTGATTTCTTTAGCAATTCTCATTTGCACGTTCAAAAATGCAAGCCAATCTTTTTGGGGTTTCGCTCTAGTAAATTTGATTTGTGAGTATTGCCGAATAAGATCAAAGCAGGTATTCATTTCATATTGAATTTCACATTAAACTTCACATTCATCTATAATACAAAAGAGGTTTCCGTTCCATGAGTGGTGCTTCAATTTTGGACATAAATATAACATCCAATACTGAAGCTATTTTCTGTCCTATGGCTAGACCTCTGACTTACTTGTAGTATTGCCCGACCATAGAATAATGCAACATCAAAGACATTCGTTTACATGGGCCATTATGTCGTCGAACCCAAACGAGGTAAAAGTGGATTGATGTTGTGTTAAAAGTTCGAAGATTGCCTGCATGCTGCATCGCTTGAAACATTAGTGTAGAAAGATAGACGTAAAAAAATTCTACAACGCTACTGCCGGAGAGTGGTGTTCCGCAGCCGCTCTAAGAAAATTTTGCTGTCAGATAGATGGGAAGAGACGTAGTCGGGTAGAAGCGAGAGAAATACATTTAGAAACCATGAGATCCTGTTTGACTAGAGAATGAGATGTTTTGGGTTTGTCAGAATTAACAACGTTAATAGTGTTGCTGTGTTTATTTTTGTTAGTGACGTGTTTGAGTGATTCTTGACATTGCTCTGGGTGTAACAGTTTGTTAAACTTTTTTGTAAGGATGTTTTTATATTGAGACGGATCTAGTTACAAACTTGTATAGATTGGTCTACAATAGTCTTCGAAGGCTGGTCAGGTAGAAGACATTTACAGCATCGTTCTTTGTGCACACACCTACACTTACAAATCATTTTGTCTAACTTTTGAAGCTGTCAGTAGAATCTGCTCTATTTTTTCAATTCCTTTACAGCCTTTGAGGAAGCCGGAAATTTCAGGAGGCATTTATTAGCAATGAGATTTGGAGTGATTTTTTGTTGTAGACAACGATCTACAACAACCTTATATCTTAAAAACACCACCTTTCTTACTAGTCGGAAGAACTTGGCTGGCACTTGATTATTATTCAACAAAATTCAAATGTTAATCAACCCTGGCATGATATAAATACTGTTTTAATCCGGAATCATGACTTATAATAAAGCGCTAGACGTCTGTCTTTTTGTGCGTGTGTGTGTTTGTCTGTCTGTCACGAAATTCAAAAAGGCAGCTGCAGCCAAGCTATCGAGCTACAATTTTGCGTAGCATACCGTGCCGGCGTGTAGGCCCACCATGCGCAAGGACGAGCCGGTTCGATAAGCGGGTCCGTCAAAATTTGCGCCTCAAACGGGTCCACCTTGCTTTTGGCGCGCAAAACTAGGTCACAAATTCAACTTTTTGCAAAGTCCTGATTTGCCTGACAAGCAAATCTGCGCTCCAAGAATTCTAGCTCAAAAAATGCTCAAAAAGTTTGCTTTTCCGCGAACACAACGCCAAAAAGTTATGATCGTGTAGAGAGTCGATTTGACAAGGTTTTACCTAAATATCTGTAAAGATTTTTGAATGGAAATGTAGCCCAAGATGACTGTTATCTTTATAACAATTACCAAGCCAAAATGAATTCAATAATCTGTTCGAATTCATATTTATTCCTCGGCAAAAAAGTTTTCTTTCTCAAAATTACCGATCTTACGTGGAGATGCTTCAAGAATGAACAGTTGTTTACGATTCATTTACGATGTACAGCCTCGCGCGGTGAGTTTCAAAGTCATCATTTTGGGAGCATGAATAAGGCATACGGATAACAGAGCCAGTGCGCCACGGACGAATAGGTATTAGCTCACTCACACTTTTTCCCCTATCACACTCATACTCTCCCGACTTCCAAGAGAGCCGAGACACAGGGCGGCCGCGCTTACCACCGAGGCAGTAACGATGGCGGGGCTGACACCAACCTGCAGATATTACCCAACTACATTCGATCCCAGCTAAACAACATGTTCTGCGCGTCCATGCACTACAGGTGTTCATCGTCTTGTTGCTCCATGTCCATCCTTGTGTGTCCATCAAACATCCAGTCGTTGAGCCATATACTCGCGCGGGGACGCAGGCATTATGCGGATATCTAGAAGTCCAACCAATCAGTAATACGACACGAGCAAAGGTAGAAGTAAAAGAGCCAACAATGGGGCGCGTCGCTATTTGCTAGCCTGAGGACGTGCCTGCGTAGTGGTCCGGAGGCGAACAGGGCTGCAGACGACCGCCGCGACGGCCGCACTACCGAACTGCGCGGCAACAAGGTGCTCCCAGTCATCCGCTAAGGGTTGGGCCAGACTGCGCGTACGCGACGTACGCCGCGTACGCCGCGTATGCTCCTATGATGAAAAATATCGAGCGTACGCTGCGTACGCCGCGTACGCCGCTTCCCCGCGAAGTCTGGCTCAACCCTAAGAGGAGCGGTTGATTGCGAACCCCGACACCGAGTAACACCAGCAACGCCGGTGAACGGATGGCACTGGTAAAGTATGGTCAAAGCTAAACGCTTTCCAGCCTTAATCCACTGGGGTGCCAAAGTTTGTATCACAAATAGACATGCATCTTGCAATTCTTACGTGAAGGTGGCGCTCGCAAACTTTAGAGGTGTAAATGAGGCAAAAGATTTTCCAGTATTTGGGGTTTCGAAAGTCGCATCTTCCAAGCGCACTTGATGCTCTGCTTTAGTTGAGAAAAACCTTAAGCCGGTTCTGCTCGTACTCTGCATTTAAGGCACCTCCTCCTCCTTTAGCATTATGTCTGTGCATGATAAAATTATTGATATTTATCCGAATAGTAACTGCTTCACTATAAAAGAGACCCAAGCGAAAGTAAGACTCATTTTGTTAATGCCTACTACAAGACTCTCTACACGAGATCCCGCTACTCACGGAGACAGAGGCACAGATCATGTGCGCAGACTGTCACCTCGCTTTGGCATCAAGATCGTTTACGTGATTGCAGGTTGACCCGTGGCTTGTCAAGACTGATTTTTATCATGGCTTTCTGCCCAGAGAAGATATAATTTACTTGTTGAGGAAACACGGAGACTTTCTTGTACGAACTACTGAAGTGAGTATCCGTGCTGAGTCATACTCGAGTGACGAACTACTTTTGAGGTGAGCACAAGCAAAGACCAAACAAAGCCGACAAAGAAAGAGACCGTTATATCAGTATTGATGGATCCTGACGGAAAATTCTTGGAGATCGGTGATAGTGAAAGTCGACATGATTTGGTATGTTCGTGACGGAATCCTTAACAGGAAAAGGATGTCTTGATACATGCGCACAAACATACTGAATCAAGCATAGCGATCCTTTGTTACCAAAAAAAGCTGCTAATGCTGAAAAGGAGCTGAACAAATCAAAGCACAGCTGAGCTTCTTGGCTAGCGCTCTCAACGTTCCTCATGCTATATTAAAAATCAGCCAATGCTCCGTTTCCGCCTGGCTAAGAGCCAATTAAGAGAAGGTGGGTGCAAGAACCATACATTTCCTTTGTTCTAGTCGAGTTGAGTGGCCGGATGTTATGACCTGTGTCAATAATCTAGGCCGCTTGATCTCTCACACCTCGAATCGCAAACTGGTATCGGGTAGCCTGGACACAGGTGAAGAATGACTTAATGATCAACTATTCTTGCAATTCACCTGTAAAGTTTGGCACACCCAACGGCGTCTTCGACTATGAGGTGAAATGGGTTCAAAGGATGTCGTATTTGAGAGCATGATGGCGACGTTAAAATCTTCATGCTTCATCGGTGTAAACATAGACCCAGTGCCTACAAAGTTCTACTTGCCTTCTTTGTAATCAAACGCCAAAAGCTGCTTTGAAACTGAGTGGCAAATGCTCACTTTTATGAACGATATGGAAACAGCCATTCATTTCCGAAGATTTGCCCCGTATTATCGGTAAGTTTAACAAAAGACTTCTTATGAAAAATAAGTACAAGCTTGAATCGGTTACTGAACCAGTTATACTTTATTAGCATTAAGGGTGATAAACTCATTTTACATCATCAATCGAAATCCTTCATTTTTGTGAATAAAAACTTGATATTTACAGTTATTCTCCTTTCGGCCATGTTCCTGAAAAGACTAGGCCTATCCAACACTTATATACCTGCTCGAAAGGTGCACGCATCAAACAAATCGATCGCTTGACATGCAGTTTTCAAGAGTCACGATTCTCCCATACCTGTAACGTACGCAATGCAAATTACGCCTTGAAATTTTGGCTGTAACTCACTCTTCAAAGTTTCTGACAAACAAAGACAAAAACCAGACTCAGACGGTTACAGTAGGTCCTTCTGTTTTTCCCTACTTTATCCTTCCTTTTTGTCCCCTGTTCTTCTTCTCCCCCTTCCCCACCGACGCCAGAACCGCGATAGAAGAGTTGGGTGTGGTGGTCCCTGGGGCACTCTGGCATCTCCGCCGCAGGCGAGGATCTATCCCAAATACAGTGGTCATGATCATTTCAACGAACGAATCTACGCACTTGGATGGCGCAGTCACTTAGAAAACCTTGATTGGTTCTCACACAAGAAGCGCAGGCACCCCATACTATGGAGCTACCACCATAGGTATCTGTCATACTTTGTGCCGTCGCCGGGCGATCAGGCATACCGTTACGATGGCTCAAAATAGTTCGAACGCACTTTCGTTTAAGCAAGATTCGACACTCTTGCATCAACTCAGTGGAAAATGTAGGCCATTCGAGATCTGCGCAGTGTAGACTAGTAACATCTATCAAGCCACTACGACAGCAATTTTTCGCACTCGCGCAAGGTATAACCTGAGCCACAAAGCTACGAGCCTACAGCTACGCTACTACCTATGAGGCAGTAACGACAAATCAAAATACCTGAGATTCCAGTGTGGAAACCAATTACGGGTCACTGACTAAGCGTTTGCATTTGCCAAGGAGTCTGCATTGTTCTGAAAGTAATGATAATGCATCGTGACCAGAATCGCAACCGTGTAGCGAAAATGTTGTCCAAGAATGAGTGGTGACTCTTTCAAATAACATCGTAAAGGCGCGAATCTCAAGGGTGTGGCATTCTGCCATTGCGGATGCCCGGGCCTCTTACAAGGATTTTCTTCGTCTTGGTTGAGTCATATAAGGTTAACATGATTCATTTTGCGCTCTTGTTTAGATGCGACCCTCTCTCTGAACAGGCACGTATGTAGCAGAAAGTTTGCGCAAGCCACTGCCTTCAAACGATCAGACAAATTTTCTATCTTTTGACACTATTTAACCACACTTACAATAACAGCCTATTCACCTTTCTAACCCGGAAATCGAAACTTTGTTTTCTCAATTTTTAAAATGTTGTCCTTTGCATTGGAGCAGGCAGCCAAAAAAACCTTAAGACAAGGGTACGGGTCAGGTGTCACGATTTTTCGCGAAGCGATGTCAAGTAGTACAAGATTCAGCTCCCATCATACTCTTGCTACTCAGTGTTACTTATACCATCGAGTCATGTATCTGCCGCCACACCCCACCATTCTACTGCGGCGCCGTGCCATTTTAGCACCAGAAAGTTATCGTGAGCACAAAATTTGGGCGCGGCGAGCGGCGGTCGTATGCACTGACCCCTGACCCATAGCCTTGAGACAATACCCAAGTCTGTTGTAAACTTCGTCAGGAGCAGTAATGAAAAATGACAGTTGCAAACAAATTGATGCTTTCAGGTTCGAAATATAATTGTTTATCATAGAAAATTACATTATTATGTAGAACACTCGATGCAGTTTGAACTTCTTAGAGATCTTTTTAAGTACTACTCAGAACATCCAGTATGTATAAACAAGGTACATCAATTTGTGGATCTCTAAAAATACGTGCATAACAATATTTTTGGGCTGAAATTGTTCTTAAAAGAGGCGTGCGTCTTGCTAGATGGGAACTCCAACATAAAAATGTGACGATAGGAAGAGTCCTTGGGCGAGGAGCATTTGGAGAAGTGCGGAAAGGGACACTGTTGAGACGACCTGGAAAATCGGTGCCAGTAGCTGTGAAGACAGTTCGTTTGCTTTATCCTGGTTTTCTGTCAAACACTGCTCTTTGAGATACCAAGAGATTAGCAAAATTTTTAGCTTAAAAGCGACACCGAATTATCAAAAGCAAAAATCAAAGAAATGATGAAAGAAGCACGTTTGATGAGAAATCTGAAACACCCGAATGTTGTATGCATCTATGGCGTTGCGCTCTTAGAGCAACCGCTGTACATTGTACTCGAATTTGTTCCCGGTAAATGCTTTGTGGCTTTTTCCTTAAACAGTAAATCGCCGAAATTGGCAAATCATTCTAGTGATCAAAAATCTTCAAAGCATTTTAGGAGGAGCGCTTGACTCTTACCTGAAGAGAAACAAAGCAACGATAGACAGAGATGAACGGTTATTGATGGCGATGGGAGCCGCGTGGGGAATGGAATATCTCCATAAAAGTAGTGTTCTGCATAGGGATATCGCTGCGCGAAATTGTCTATATGACACAGATAAAATTGTAGGTTATTATCATGGATCAGTTCTAAGCTTTGTACACTCTTGCAATGCTCACAGGTAAAGATCAGCGACTTCGGCCTGTCAAGGAAAGGTTCCGTATATAAGATGCAGACAGCGAAGAAGATGCCAATAAAATGGATGGCGCCAGAGAGCATTACAACTTTCATGTTTTCGCAGAAAAGTGATGTGTATAGTTATGGGGTTGGTGATATTTCATGCACAGCAAGCATACTCAAACAAAAGTCGCGATTAAGATATTAGTCTATGAGATATTCGCTGGCGCTGAACCATATGAAGGTATCCCAAACTCTGCCACAAGAAAGATGGTATGTGTGTGTTTTTTTGCATCAGCTCTACTCTATACGAGTCTTCCAGATACTGGAAGGAAAACTTAATGATTTTCCTGAAGGCGCACCTGCGAAACTAGTCGAGTATGTTAAGACCAAGATGTGGCACCATAACCCAGATGAAAGACATGACATGGGGCAGGTGAGCTTCTCTATAAGACTAAATTAGGCCTATTCACACTAGTTATAGATAACTGCGCTAAATTTTACATGTAAAGTTGAGTGTATATCCGTTTTGTGGGTTTGTCTGCATGGGTGTGCAAAAAAAACCCATTTTTTGCACACAGACTCACTTCGGGGAGAGACGGATGTCATAGAGCCCTTCCATTATCGATCGATATCAATTTGATATTTTTAGAAATGGGCTAGAGAGCTGAGTGTGCAGATGGTAAAATCATCAGTGAAATAATCCACTGCGTTTATTTGGAATATCCATTTTTCTCAAAGCTTAAGATGAGAAGCTGGGTGTCAATACAAAGTTAGCGAAATTAGTGATCGTGCTAATCATGAAGATACCTTGGGAGCAGAAGATTCAGACCAAAAGCGGGCAAATACAGAATGATTTCGTATACAAACTAGATGGGAAATTAGTTACATGATACATCGATAGAAGGAACATTCGGAGTGGACATGCCAAGTTGGTCTATGTAAAGGATCATAAAAGATTTGGCGTCTTCAGTACCCTCTTCAATGTTCGAACAGGCTAATAAATGCGCGCTATACAAGGGAAGCAGCCGACGCAACTCGGATACGGCACTTCAGCTTCCCTAGATTACGGTACCAGTACCATCGTAGTGGGATTGGTAGGCCTAGCGACACGGATCAATCCACTTATCTCATTGAGTTGCGGCATCTTACGCCAAGACACCATCCCTAATGTATCTAAAAAATGTGCCGAAGTTGAGTGCAAGCATAATTTCTGTCCAATTAGAGCAATAAAGGATCGCAGTCGGTGATGGAGGTGAAAGCAAGCGAGAGCCGGCGACGGGATAACACCAAATTATGTTTGCAAGCTATATCACAAAGACATATTGCGCTGCACTTGAAATGGTATGGTGCGAGTTTCACGCTTACCTTTTAGAATTTCAGATCGTCAGCTGGATGGAAAAATACACTGGACTGGTCCTCGACGTACCGCAGCCCACCGTAGCACGAGAAGTGAAAGACGATGATAAGGTACGAAGCCTTTCCAAAGAATTCCGCCTTAATTTCACGAGTACAAGGAGGACCAAATCTGAACATCTCAAACACAAAAGAAGGTTTTCCAACAAGAAACCTTATACCGCGCTGCACATTACCTAAAAGTAACGTGCGCGGTAACGTCTGAGAGGCACGGCTTAGCTGTACGCTACAGAGGCGCAAAAGGTGCGCTTTGTACTCGCAAAATTATGGTGATTTTCATCTGAGGTTCAAAAAAAAACACTGACTCAATTAAAACTATTGAACAGGGAGCCAACAAAACTCAAGCGACGACGGCGCAGATAACAGCTAAGGCCAAAGTGAAGCAAAAGGGGAACATTATGAATGACGGGTATTCATCACACCTCTTCTCAACGCCTTAAGTTGCCAAAAATCAATATTTCAGCTAGGCTAGTGATTTTTTGACCAAATGAAAATTATTCTTCATTACATAACGAATATCATATTCATTACAATGCAAACGAGAATTGCAAAATAAATAGTTTTGTGTTTTTGCAGTCATTCTACATACAATAATTTGTAACCACAGGACTGATTTTCAAATCAAGGCATACTGTGTCATAGCACAAAGAGAAAAGAGAAGACTTTACAATGGCGCACAAAATCGAGTGAAGCGAATGCAAATGGTTGAACAGACAACTTAAAGCTGGGTTCATAGAACCCCGCCCCAGTTATCGAACTCTGCTGGAACTTTACCGAAACTAAAGCGCTGCAGCCGTCCGCATGCGGTTTTGAGCGGCGGAGATTTTTGAACGGTTGCTATGAATTCTTTCTCACATCATATTCAACTGATTTCGGTTTCATTCTTCTACTCTGCTCCCCCTTTTGATGGGGAGAGTGGAGTAGAAAGATGAAACAAGCAACCGTTCGATGTTTTAGCGGGGCTGAAGAATGAGCGCCGTTCTGTTTCCATGTATCCGGGGACATGTGTCTCCGTGCGTTTCCATTTTCTCCTCTTTTTTAGTCCAAGCCTGCTCCATGTGTTCCACGATTTCTCGGCGTGATTTTCGCAGTTATCTATTAGGTCATTCCGAAAGTAATTTCGCTTTTTTCAAACGGACGCCGCATTTGAAGGAAGGAAGGTTTCTAAGAGATCTTAAAAGCATTCGATGCGGAATTTCTTTTACTTTCTAATGGTTATGAAAATGTTGCAAAACAGTCAACGAGCTTTCAGAAAATAACCAAAATCTGCGACCCATGCTTTTTGAGATGGTCAAGTTTCGCGATTTTTTCAAGCTTTCATATCAGTCATCAGAAGGAGTTCAAGTAACGGATTGATAGAGTAAACCTTACAGAATACAGTGTTACCTCTTCTCTTTCTCGCAGCTCGCCGTAATTTTTTTAAAAGATTTTTTAACAGAACCATCGGATTTTGGCAGGTCCTTCTCAGCCACAATCGCATCAAACATCATAATTTTTCGTAATTTGAGACTACCAAAATGGTGTTATAAGCTAGCATTAATTTTACAAAGCAGGCGAGGGTCTACGAGTTCGAAATATCAAATTTCGAGTTTTTCGGATACAGCCTGGGGCTCGCTAAAGAAATGAGTTATGATGACTTTTTCCCGGAAACTAAATGAATCGGGAACAAAAAACACCTATTAGAAAGAGGAGTAAATGCTGAATTGACTGATGCGCGAGCTGCTCTTTTTTGATGTTCCACGAGGATTTAGCTGTCCAAGTATTGAAATCAGCAGCATCAGTTAAAATTCTGTTGAAAATGTATGACAAGAGCTATGTAAAGGAGAAAAAAGCAGTACTGAAATCTGTAAGGTTTACTCTATCGAACCGTTACTTGAACTCCTTCTGATGACTGATATGAAAGCTTGAAAAAATCGCGAAACTTGACCATCTCAAAAAGCATGGGTCGCAGATTTTGGTTATTTTCTGAAAGCTCGTTGACTGTTTTGCAACATTTTCATAACCATTAGAAAGTAAAAGAAATTCCGCATCGAATGCTTTTAAGATCTCTTAGAAACCTTCCTTCCTTCAAATGCGGCGCCCGTTTGAAAAAAGCGAAATTACTTTCGGAATGACCTAATATATTGACCTACGGCATGAAAACATTCTCGGAATACGAAAAACCGGAACTTTTCCTATTATCCTGATGAGTTTCACTTTTGGGCATTCTCAGTCCATTTTTCTTTGTAATTCGCTGTTTATACGTTCTTTCTTCTACCCCGCTTCTCCTTGCGACAGAAAAGCTGGAAACTTGAAGCGGGGTTGTAGAAATAACGCTGGTCTGCTCCATGTAATGGGGAGGGTGTGTCTTCATGCGTTCCGACCTACGTTGTGTTCCAGGAAGCCGCAGCGTAGCTCCGCATCTGTATTAAGAGGGGGATAGGCAGCTTTCTGTAACACGCGAGATCCGAAAAAATAACGAAGAGAAAATGGACGAGCACAAGGAGGCACATCTTTCCAGGATACACGGAAGCAACGGCCTCATTCTCCGACCACGCTAAAGCACCGGATCTCTTCTCATTAAAAGGATAGCGGAGTAGAAGAATGGGACCGAAACGAGTGAAATGTGGCGGAAAATCTGTTAAAATAGGTCAAAAATCTTTATCCCGTTGCTCAAGGACGATGCGGGAGCCTGCAGTGCATGCAGCACGGTTCAGGCACAGTCAGAGAACTTCGCAGGAACCGTTGCGGAACTTCCAAATCACTGTGAACCCAGTGCAACAAACTATTTGTTCGCGCTGATTTTGTTCAAGATCACATAAGGCAGAGCCGCAGCCACGTATAAAGGTAGTGGCTCAGTAGGTGTTCGCTCTTGTTCTTGCATTTTTGAATTTGTAAACGCAAGGTCGGCGACGCACATTGTCGCGGAACCTATAATTACATGGGACACACGGCTTCATCGGTTGGAGGAAAATCGCGCACTTGGTAGAGCGCGCGCGAATTCCATTTGGGAGCACATTTTTGGGCCTAGGAGCCATGCTGAATTTGTGAGCACATTTCTCGGCGTGGGAGCCATGCTGCAAGCCACTTAGTGTGGTGCTTAGTTGATTTGCGATTAGCCGTCTAAATTGAAGCCCAAACTTTTCAAATTACCGACCCGTTGCCTTTGAGCGTAAAATTCTTGCACTCCTACTTGGACGATGGCCTCCTTTTACCTTTACAATTTCTCTTAACGTGATTTTCCGAGGAAACTAGCCTGTACCGAAGAGCTTTTCATTGAAGTTTGTACGCTTAATTCTGCTATTATGGATATGCGCAATAACAGCATGAAGTGACTCTTGAGTTTGCTTATGTCATCCATTTAATTATCATATACCCGTGGTCCCCAGTTTTACTCCATTCACTTAATTGGCTCAGAAGACCAGCCAAATTAATACCGGCACCTTGTTAGCTCCGTATCCTACTGTGAACACAGTTTCGAGGCTCGAAACTGTGTTCACAGTAGGATAAGGAGCTAACAAGGTGCCGGTGTAAATTGTGCGTACGATAGGGTAAGGTTGGAACTTGGTCGGAAAACGCCGGAGCACGCAGGGGTCTGCCGAATAAGCTTATTTTATCTTATTGCTTTGGTAAAAGCTGATTGGAGTGCTTGCACAGAAAAACAGACGTATTCGGGGCGCACTGACTTAAAAAGCATTTTGAGCAATTCGAGAAGAGTAACGCTCTTCTTTTCGAGTGCATTGGGCTACGTGTGTAGCACATATATCAGCCTGTTACTGTAATTCACCAAAATTTTGATTAGAAGGATTGCACTTGTGAGTAAAAAAGGAGCTTTGTGGTATTCGTATAACGAGCCGCTAAGAATTCCCATCCTTCGCAAAAAGATTCCTAAGATTAACACCGATCTTCATTGTGCCACGTTCTATCCTCTTCGGCTATGCCCTTTTCCACGTAGGACTAATGATCTTTTGACTTCTTCCAAAAAGTCTCGAAACTCGCAAAATATAGGGTTCGTATAATTTTGAAGCGCACTTAATCACGATGAGCCTGAAAAACCATAGCACTAGCGTAGAAACAAGAGAATATTCAGAGTTGAAAGGCTCAGCTCACTGTGATTCTTTATCCATACTGCCAACTCATGATGCGTCTAAAGGAATCGTCAGAGTTTACTGATGATACCAGTGTTACCCGCGTTACACGTGTTACTAGTGCTATCCGTGTTGCCAGTGTTACCACTGCTACCATGTTATTCTACCGTTGTAATAATGATTTTGATTATAATTAAACTTTAATTCTAGTCAAATTTAGTCGATTTTACTGTTACCAGTGTCTTACAGTAACACAAGTAACACTAGTAACACTGGTAACATCGGTAAACTCTGACGGACCCCAAAAACAATACGTGCGAGGGTGCCGACTTGCTCCAACTTAAAAACTGCCTCAGCTAAACCTTGTTGCTACCAAGCCATTGTTCTTCCCTCCCATAGCCAGGGCCCAGCAAAGGTGGCGATTTCACAAGCTAGGTGTCGTTTTTAAGGGAATAGGAAAGTGGAACCCATAAAGGAATCTGGGGGATTATTAGAAAGCACAACTCTAACTCTTAGGGCCGCATGCACTAACATCCCAGCAGGGAGGGGATCGCAGCTTCAGAAGAAAGCTTCATATCCTGAAACTCCGGATATCTGGATTTCATGCTGTCTACCTATCCGTAAGTATTCCTACTACCCTTCACTATGAACATGTTGAACAGGAGCGAGAAGCTGTACAAACCGCATTTTCCAGCTTTTGTATGATCCCTGATGATCCCCGGCGCTTTTCTTTAAAGTCATTTTTCTTCCTCCGAAGTTAACGAAAACCTTCCAAAGTTGTACTGAACATCTTACACAATACTGCTAAGCATGTTGCTGATGAGAACAAATGACTTTTTGAAAAGTCGAATTTTTCGGTAAGCCTCAAATTTTGACCTGTGGATCATCGCAAATTTCATGACTTCAAAACATCATTTGTTCTTAGCAGCAACATGCTTAGCACTGTCGGGTTAGACAATCTGCACAACTCTGGAGATTCTTCGTTAACTTCGGAGAAGGAAAAATGACTTTAAAGAAAAGCGCCGGGGATCATCAGGGATCATATAAAAGTTGGAAAATGCGGTTCGTACAGCTTCTCGCTCCTCTTCAACATGTTCATAGTGAAGGGTAATAGGAATACTTACGGATAGGTAGTACACAATGTGAAATCCAGGTATCTGGAGTTTCGAAATATAAAGCTTTCTTTTAAGCTGCGATCCCCTCCCCGCGGGGATGTTAGTGCATGCGGCCCTTAACATCTGGGAGTTCCCTGAGGTTGCGCGTTACCAGACAAAGTCATAGCCTCCCCGATAGGTTCCCCTACAGCCTCCCTTCTAGCCAGTTTTATTTCTATATTCTAAGCGTGCCAAACTACAACTCTATCTTTTTGTATGAGCACTGTAAGAGTAATGCATTTGCTTAGCCCTCAGCGCACATA